TCAAAAAAATTCCGCCTGTGTCAACAAAACAAGCTTCCCTTTGGACTTTTAATCTTGAGGCAATCAAACAGTTTCATAGATCGCGATTCACGTCCTCCCTCTCTCTTCTTTTACTTTATAAGTAATTTTTTCTCCATATATCATATAATAGACGCCATCTCAAATTTTGAGAAACCAAATGAAAGCCTAAACTCTAATAAGATATGTTATTATTCTTGATTAAGTGCAAAATCATATATAACTATTATCATTTGCACACATTTAAGAGATTCTCAAAACATTTAAATTTACAAAAGAAAGAAAGCATTTTAGAGTGAAGCTCATATAAATAAAAACCAATCTCTAAAGTTTATTGATCATTTATTTAATTAAACTCATGCAACAAATCATTCATTTAAGACTAATGTCCATATGATAACAATCATAACATACAAACTTTTGTATGCCATTATGGCATTAAAGCTTTTGAACACAATTAGTCAATAAATGATTATTTTGCAAAAATAAAAAAATTTGATTCAATGTATTTGAAAATGAATATTAATATTAAACTCTATAAATATATTCAAAAACTTTCAAAGATAATAATAATTTTATTTTCACAAACAAAATAAATTAATGAAAAATAAATTTCTTCTCTATAACATAATTTCTATTTACAATCAACCAAATGAGCTATTAATCAAATAAACCATCAAAGAAGGCTATGGTCTACTATTATCTAATTGTGAAAAATATGAGAAATAGATGTTCATCTTCAACTCTTACAATAATTTACAAATATTATATATAAATAAAATATCAATTGTATTTATTAATAAGTTCACTATCTTTGATGGGATGGCATCAAAATAACATTGAAAGTTATAGATTTGACATAAGATGTAAAATATATCATTGTGGCATATTGATTAATTAGATAGTACAAAAAATAAAGACATGACATTATGTTTTAAATTTTATTATAAAATGGTTATAACAAAATTATTTATTTATTTTTTTGAGCTGTCATATATAGTAATCTTTGTTTTATTTTTTCTAACAAAAATTAAACAATATTTTTCTTATAATTGTTTTAAAACCGCTGTAATTACATTATGATCACAAAATATTTAAGAAAATTAATAAAATAATTATAACCAAATAAAAATATTACAGAGTTTTATAAAATAAATGGTTGAGAATTGCCAAAAATAATCCTAAAAAACAAAGTATGCATGATAGGTCAGTTACAATGATAAATAATATACTTTCTGAGAGAATTTCTGTCAAAGATAATTAAGGCTGTATTTTGAACAGTTTTCTTCTTGCTTTTTAAGACATCTTTTTAGTAAATAATTTTCTTGAACTAAAAATTTTGCACTAAAAACCGTTGTATAAAACAGTAAGAAAGCTGTCTAAACGAAGCCTAAATAAAGGCTCTTTGCCCACCTCTTTAATTTGGACTTAGGCACTGATTTACGAAGTAGTTTCTTAGTACAAAAATTATTTGAATTTTAAAAAACTTTGTACTATAAAGTTGGTTCATAAAGAAATAAAAAAACTGTCCCAAATGAAGCTTTAAAATTTAAGGTTTCTTTTAGGATAATTTTCTTACTGCTTTTTATTTTATTTTTTTAACATAAAAATTTCTTTAAAATAATTAAAAAATAATAATAAAAAACTATCCCAAATGAAACTTTAATTTCTAGCTTTTATGATTCATCAAATCAATTTCAAAGATACAAACATGCAGCATTTGAATAATAAAATATATAATTGTTAAACTGTAAGATTGGCTTCAGAAAGAACAAAAAAAAAATAAATGATGACAGTGGATGAATCAAAAGATTGATGAGTTGAATCACAGTTGTTTGACTATCAGAAAGAACAGCACCATTGGTGTACCTAATTCAAGCTGGAAAGGATCACTATCAATTGAATTCCATAGCGAAAACAATCTCATACAATTAGGCTAACTTACAATTAGGATAATTATCAATTCGTGGCGAATCACTGCGACCACTCAAATGATAGGTTAGGGCTTTCCAAAGGGAAAGCAACAAGCCATTATAAAGGGAACCAGCAAGAACCCGCCAGTGATGGTTGCCAACAAGACGTACCATCAGATAGCTCGCAAGCTCGCCGCATCATTGCCCATTCTAAAAATCTCGCCCACACCCACCAGGCTAACGAAAAACATGCGCAAATCGACATCCATAGCAACCAAACAGAGGAAGCCCAAAAAAGCTTATTTGGATTTCTGGCGACTATGATTTCTAACCAAGGCAAAATCATCATCCTTCGCCTGCACCTTATACGAATCCTGACCACCCTCAAAAGTGCTAGCAAAAACCAATGGTGTTGTTCCTTGAACTAGAAATTTTTGTACTATAAATCTGCTTTTAGAAAGTAGTAGGACGGCTATCCCAAATGAAGCCTAAATCTCTAGCAATTTGAGGAGATTTTTCATGATGTTCATTTTAGCTTCTATCTCTATGAATCATAAATTAAACACTGTCGTTGATAGGTCTCAAGTCCTAGATGAGAAAAGTGAAGGATTATGTTACGTAGCCAACATCCAGTATAAGACTTGTAGAATAATTATTAGAGACAGAATACGAAACATGTATATTCGTGAAAAGGTTGTGCGTAGTAGCTCCAATGGAAGATAAGATTAGATAGAGTCGTCTTAGATAGTTTGATCACATAAAACGTCGGCCTTCAAATGACCTGGTTATGAGAGTAGATCTTATGTTAAGAAAGATACAGATAGACCAAAAAAGACTTTAGAAAATTTTAGAATGACCTTTCTTTATTAAAATTAAATGAGACACAATGGAGAAAAATTATTCATATAGCCGATCTCATGTAGTGGGATAAATATTTGATATTGTTGTTGTTGTAGTATTAGAATTGTAGTCAATCAATAATTCTCTCTCTCTCTCTCTCTTCTTAAATATAAACATCCAAGTAATGATGTAATTGCTAATAAACTGGCCTCTATAGCCCCGATTTACAACCTGGCCCACCGGATCCATTGAATTAGGAACTTTCCACTCCCGGCCCAAAACCGCTGGGCGAAGCCTCAGGCCTTCTTCTTCCTCCAGAAGCTTGCCGCCATTAATCTTTGCAACACTTATAAAGCTGAAATTCTTGACTGATTAGCTTACTATATTTATCAATTTTAATATAATACTACACTTTTATCCTTCCATCATTATGAACCAACCATGATATGTTGAGCTGGAATGCTATGAATGTTGGATTGGTTGAGAATGATTCTGATCTAGTTCACAATCTCTTACTATTCTTAATATTAGAAGTAGAAGGCGCTCTGGCTCTAGCGAGATCGGCCTCACATACAGAAAAAATCTTGCAGTCAATTTGATGATAATCGAGTGACATTACTTCTTCGATTTGAACCAAGGAATCAATTAGATATGATGCAAAATGGATCTTGTTCCGTCGTTGATCATAAGAGATTTCTATACAAAAAATACGAATTGGAGTGAGGAAGGAGAAGGGGCCCTCCATCTGCAACAAATAGAGGAAGATTTCTTCAATCACTTAATTTGGGCTCCAAGAATATGGCGCTCTTGTGGCAATCTATTTGATTGTATCGAAAGGCCCACGGAATTGGGATTTTCCTATTAGATTGGGTCATTCGGGGCAAATGAATCATTTATCATGTAGAAGATGTGCTTAAAGATAATGATTAGAGTTCTTGCAGAGTGGAAACATGCAGTATCATACACGAGATAGATCTTCTAAAGAACAACATAGTAGAAATATTATGGATTTGAAGGCCCAAGATAGGGTGTAACCATGTAAGTGAGTCAACTTAACTCATGAGGCGGCTCGAGCTTAGCTTTATAATAGCTTATGAGCTAACGAGTTAAGGTTGAGTTAGTCTTGACTCGACCTGTTTTCTCACGAGCTAGCTCTTTTAAAAATATTACTATAAAATATACTTAAAATATATTAGAATTTAGTAGTTCAACTATAAACATATTTAAAGTATTTAAAAATCACATCATATTTTCTTAAATCAAGTGAATATTTATTATCTATTTCTAATTTCTCTTTTTTTTATATAATTTTATTGTAATAATTGTTAAAATCACAATAAGTTTCTCTTTTGTTATAAACGAATATGTTCAAACTCGTAGAATTAAACTTCAGCTTGAGCTCGAATTTAATTAATTAATCAAGCTTAAGCTAAAATCAGGGATGACTTGAGCTCAGTCGGCTCAAGGGTGAAGGCTCATCTAAAACTTCTGGAGAATCAATAGATCCTACAATTCGACCTTGAAGCACCATAGAAAAGCACAATGAAAATGGTTTTGAATTATCAGTTGTGCAATCATCTAAAACTTCAGGAGAATCAACTGGTTTATTTTAAATTATGCAAATTATAGATGTAACTATGATGAAAATATCAAATAAATATTATAGATAAGTAGATTTATATTTTTCTTACTAATATTTTAATTCGTCAAACAGCTTCAATAACATCTAATAAATTATGTCAAATTTAATAAAAATCTATAAATCCAATTGTGTCAATATATATTAAAAGTATTAGCATCAAACAAATAAATAATTAAATGACTTTCTTGCTGCTTCTTAAAGCAGCTTTATAATACAAAAACTTTAATTTTTGTTAGAAACTACTTTAAGAAGCAACAAAAAAGTCATCCAAAAGGAAGCCTAAAGCTTAATTCCAATTAGAACTCAATTATAAAACTAATAAGCAAGCTTAAGCAAGATTTTAAGACTTAGGTTTTGTTTTGGACGGCTTTTTTACTGATTCTCAAAGCAGTTTTTTAGAATAAAAATTTTAATTTTTAAACTAAAAATTTATATTAACAAGCAATAAAAAAGTCATCTCAAACAAAACTTTAGTTCATCTTCAATCTCAATTTGAACTTAATAAGAAACTAAATGAGCTGCTTTAACAATGAAGTAAATAATTGCATTGAAAAAATGCCAATTTCCCAAAGATTAAAGCACCAACATACTAAATATTACTTCATTATATACTAAGCATCATGTCCAAGCAACTTCCTCTCATTCAGCATACATAATACATTAGATAATCATAGTAAAACAGCAAAGCAAGGCTTGAAAAGAAGGTGAGAGCTGAGAAGAGCAATATATAAGCATCAAATGAGTGAAATTTATGCAGTCTTGGAAGGATATTTGATAGCATTTTTGACAATCTTTTTGGTTGCTGCATCTGCAAGATCAATTCCACATATATCTGCAAGCCTAATGAGATAGAGCAATACATCTGATAGTTCTTCACCTAGATGCTGCTTGTCTGATTCCTTCCAGTTTGGCAATCCCTTTGCCACTTCTCCTCTCCACATGAAAATTTCGGATAGCTCCCCTACTTCACCAACCTTCACAAATCCAAGCAGATCACAAGCAAAATTTTCTTAAGAGTTCATCAGCATCTTCAGTTAATTAAAGCATTAAAGATCATTATTATAAGCAGAAATCAGACAAGCATGGTTGTATATCATGTGCAGTAACTAAAAGTATTATTTTGTTGTCAGAAGCATCAGATTCCATGCACCATTATTTTAATGGCAATGAGCCTTTAGGTTGCTAAGGTCATACGGGGATTTATTAGGTCTCATAGCCCTGAAGCTACTTCAATGAAGAGGGTAATCGATTGATTTTGGCAGACTTGTTATCATTTTCCTTTTTTTTCATGTAATTTTGTTTACTAATAGTTTTCTTGTACTTTTTAAGGATAATTTTTGTGATAATGTTTGTGTAATGAGAGTACATTCCTTTTTGAAATTATGAATGTTTTGTATTTACGAATGGTTGATTTCTGGTTTTTATTATTTCTTATTCTTATGATGGTTCTAGAGGGCCGGGCCAAATTCTCACATCGAGAAGTTATTAAGTGTGAAGACTTCTTGAGAGCATGTATTCCTAAATCAATTTGTCGAAGTGTCAATATCATCATGCCATGCATTCCTAAATCAATATAGATAGTGACTTCACTAAGTGAATGTTGTGCCTCTTTTAAGGGCTAGGGGATTACCCTATAGAGGAGTCTGTGCATTAATTAGGCTTTTCTACAAACAGGATGACTTCTTAAGAGCCATTAGCACACCCTGAGAAGAGATTTTTCACTTTCGATTGAATGACTTCTCTTTTTTACTGTTATAATCCATGTGCTCTAACTAGTGTATATAGAGAAAACACATGTCACTTCTTGGTCTGTATTTGACAAAATGTCCTCTAACTAGTCTGCAAGTGGCCAAAGATACATAGAGAGCCTAATAAGGATAGTTGCGCTAGCTAACTCAGGACATTTAAAGTTCAAGGTGCAAGTTGAAAGTTGAGAGAGGTAATTGGTGGTTAAGAGCACATCATCAATCAATAATAACAAGGTGGTTTCAACTAACCAAACAACATATTTGTAGAAAGATGGGTTAACAAGGCAAATGCCAATCGAGTTGTTTATTAATCAAGTTTAATGATTTCCTCTAAATGATTGATCTATGTGGATAGCTCGTATGGCTTCAGTTACGGTGGTGATGGAAGAGCCATGTAAGGTTGACTTTTGTCAAGTATCCTTCATGAATTGATCAGGAGGGCTATTAATTGACTTTGGTCCAATTGTGTGATCGATCCGAACAAAAATCTCTTTTAAAGACGTTGGCTCATTTATATTATTATTTCTCACACATATGGCTCATATTTGGTACAGAAAAATAAGTCATAATACTTTTCCCCTTCATTTTGAACTCTATGAATATAGGCATTAAAATGGTAGTCATGCCCAATTGCCAATGGGTATTCCTAACTAGTGAGGCTCTATAAAGACAATTTGATGTGAGAGATGAATTGAATCATTTCTAACAAAAATTGTCATTATGTGTGTTTTTTTATAATTTTCCTTATTTGTATGGTCATTTTATATTATCGATGACTTTATCATCAATAGTTATTGGATGGAATATACCTTATCCATAAGTCAAAAGGTAATGATAACATGTTTTTACTCTCCATATTCTCATCATGATTAGCAAGTTAACGAGTTGTTAAAGGTGATGCATTCAACTCGTTCAATTCAACTCATTACTCAAACTCCTTATTCCATTGAAAAATATTTGTGATCCTCAATAGTTTATAGAATAATATGCAATTGCAACTAAACTTGGAGATAAGTATTTTAGCCCCACAATGCACCCAATGAACATAGTATCTTCTTCATTGTTCAAGGATAATGCATCCTTATCATTACTTTTTTTTTCTTTATCATTATCTTAATTTTATTGAAGCTAAGCTTTAGGCCTTGAAAGGTGAGAAGGAAGCCATTGAAACCTTTAAAATCTACTACAAATGTGCAATTGCTAATAAAGTGATCAACAAAAACTTCAATCTTATAACATTTTTTGTCCTTAAAAATTGTCCAACTTGCACTACTAAGTCACAATTTAGCTTTAACGACTTGACTTATAATAGTATAACTCATATTGCATTATGAAAGTTATCTTATGTGAGAACCCTTGGATTTTTTTTTTTTTTTTTTTTTTTTTTGTGCAGTTAGTCTGTACGAACTGAACAAGTGCAGGTTAGTTTGTACGAACCGTCAGTACAAATAGAACAAATTGGAGGTTCGTCTGTAAGAACCGGAATTCGTTTGTACGAACTGAACAAAAAATTTTGACAGAGCCCTTCGTCCAGGGACGAAAATCAATTATCGTCTGTATGATTTGTGTACAGAGTAGTTCATCCAGGGACGAATGGAAAACATCGTCCGTATGAATGTAAATATCTTTTCTCTATTTATGGACCGTTTGACATGTTTTGAAGAGAGAGAAAAGAGGAGAGAGAAAGAGAAGGAAAGAGAAAGGAAAAAAGTTTGATTTCGGAGGCCGCGGAGCTATTTTCATCTGTCGACGCAGTTGGAAGAATTGTTCGTCTCGCAGTAAGGAATCCATGTCCTATTTCTGATTTTGAAGATTTTGTATTTTGATATTTTTCTACTCATATTTGTATTTTTTGTTACCGAAAAACGTGCATATCTTTGTATTGACGAAACTTTTACCACGTAACTTTTTGTATGTTATAGAGAATATGATTTTGCACATTTTAAATATTTTCTGGAAAGTTTTCACCAGGTATTCTGAATTCTGAAGTATTTTTATCAAATAAAAAATTATCTGGATGTTGAAAAATATTGCTTCAGTTCAATAAAAGCTTTGAAATGATGTTTTATACGATCTTTGGTAATTTGGTAATTTTCTGAAATTGTGCATTTTACAACGACAACATCTGTCTATTGTACGATATTTTAAGAGTTTTCTAAATTTGAGCTAAATTATGTCTGTTTGATGCAATGCATTGATAAGATATAAATGAATGTGGATATATGACTAAAAGTATTGTTACATTACCGTGATATTACTGTGTGTGTGTGAAAGATAAGAAAAGACTAGTCGAACTGTTGGTATGAGACTGATTGATTTGTACAGGATGATGGGCCGACGGGCTTTCCTTTAAATATGGTTTGGTATTATCCTCTACTGATTCGCGTGATACTGATTGGGAGTTATAAGAAGATGATTATTGTGTCTACAGACAAAGAGTGACAACTCTGATTAATGAGCCAACGAATAATGATATAAGATACTAATACTGATAAAAGACTGAAAAACAACATAATAGCCAGGGCTTTTACTTGTTGAGAGTGATAACTGTAAAACATGCATTTCATCATTATTTTTATTACTGTACGAATTTATTACTACTGTATGGATTTATTGATATTGTACGAATTTGTCGTTACTGTACGATTTCACAGTTATAGCATACTGCTCATGTCACTAGATTATTACTGATATTGATACAGGCACTGATATTACTGATTTACTGTACTGACATTATGCATATGATATACTGAGCAAGTGACATGTGATTCACTGAACACGTGATATAGATTACTGTATTGCATGTGATACACTAAGCATGTAATATTGAATAACCGAATTTGCAAGTGTACATTTTGATACGACTTTACTACATTAGTTTGATTTCAACAGTCACGTACGATAGTATTGATTTGATATTTTATACCGACTGATATTATTAATACAATGATTTATTAACTGATTTGATTGCTATTACTGACACGATACTTTCTCTAGCAATTTGATTGAGGTCATAGATACAATGGTTCAAATAGAGATTTGATGTATGTACCAGATTATGGATTTAATTGATGTTATGAAAATGATGATTTTTGTGTACTGTTTATTGATTCTATTATTGTCGATTGTAGACTGTACTGTTTACGCATTGATTACTATTTATGCACGATTTATGAATCTGTATTGACTTAATGATCATGTGAAAGTGATTGTTATTATTTGATTGATTAACATGCATATTATTTCTGTACCGTGTTTTGATTTCAGTTGTAGGTATTTGATGACCTGCTGGGATTTTTAAGCTCATTATATGTGGTTAATAAATTCAGGTCAGGGCAAGGGAGCAGGAGTGTGAGATTGATAAGGAATCTTTTTTGTTCCTTTTGTTATAGTTATTCTTTTGTACTCAGGATTGAATTGATATGCGATCATTGTTGAAGATCCTGAATATTATAAATGACTTTTGGGTATTGAATAGAAATGTTTACATGATGTTTTAAATTATAGACTATGTTATATTGTTTATTACTGATGGATGATCATAGATAACTCTGGTAGTTGATTTTATAAATGATTAAAAGAATAATTCTTCCAAGTTAGATCTAGCGTCACATCTTAGTTCTATCCTTCATATGCATCACAAATTAATGGTAATTATCAAAAGTGTCAAAAAGAGCATGATTAGATAACTATTAAAGAATCAATAAAGCCATCAATTTGATGAAATGAGTAAATAACCTTAAAATATACTTGGTTCAAATTGGTGAAGTAATTATTGATTATATATTTGATATTCAAAATTTTTGTTGAATGATATTCGAGATTTAGTATGTATGTTGGACTTCCCTTTCAAGATAAAGACAACTTGACCTTTGTATTATTTGATCAAATGGGTCACCGTGCTAGTTAATGTTGATTTGGTGGCAGACAATATCAATGTTGACTCCATTCATATTAATTATCAACCACACAAAGAAATCAACATTTAATTGGAGACAATCAAAAGGCTATGCTTGTTGCACCTTTCCAAAATAGATGCTTATACATACTAATTGCTTTGGATTTTCATTGGAGACAATTGCATTAGCCATAGCTTCATTGGTTGTAAAACATAAGCCACTTGATCTCTAGTTGAAAGAATTGTCTTTCATGGGTAGCATTAGGATGTCTGGCTAGCGAGATACAACTCACAGAGTGCTCTCTCTCTCTCTCTCTCTCTCTCTCTCTCTCTCTCTCTCTCTCTCTCTCTCTCTCTCATTTCACATTGTTGCTTGGACTCCAAACTATGGTTGATTGTCGTAGGTGAAACATATACACCATGATTCAAGGCATATGCAAAACAACCTAATTACTTCTCTTCCATCCATCCTTAACTTTCTCACATTTTACTAATTTTCTTCTAGAATAATCTCACTAGCATGCTCCAATTGCCTAACTATGTTGAAGCATCAAGGGCATAAATATAGCATGCAAGAAAAGATGAAAACAATTTCCATAGTGCATGCCAAGTAACCATGCATTTTCTTAGTGATGAAAGCCTTATTTCATCCTCCATAATGATAACATTTTTAATTAAGCATCTCATTATCATATTTATGGAAAAAAAACACTAAAAGAAGACACTTATTATGTCCTAGTGGGTTTAATTCTCCTCTTCATTAATTTCTCACCTAACCCATTAATAGACAGCCTTAGAGCTTCCATCTTAGCTGTTCCACATAAAGGTTTCAATTTTTCCCAATAAAGGGAATCATCACTCAAAAGGCCAATGAGATGTGCATATTCTTTTGTGCACACCATTTATTGTTCTTTTGTTGTAAGAAAAACAGCCACACAAATTTTGTATTTATTATTTTATTAGCTGAAAAAAGGACTTTTTTTCTATTTTTCTAAAATTTATTATTTTGAAAAGCAAAATAGAAATTTTGATTATGAAAATTAGTTTTTAGAAATTTTAACAATAAATAAATAAATATATTTATTTATCATACAACATGCCTTTCATTTTGATTGATGTTGCATATCTTTTCTGACTAGACATAGGCTTCATATGGAATACTTTTCTTACTATTTTTTAAATGAGTTTCTTAATACAAACAATTTTAATTCTAAAACAGTTTTATTATTATTTTCTAAATTTTAGAAACTTTAGAAAAAAGTAAGAAAATTGTCACAAACAACATCTTAGGCTTGATTTGGGACAACTTTTTAAAAACTGTGGCTAAAAGCTGTCTCAAAGGAAGCCTTAAGAGAAGATTCTTTGCTTCAATATTGTTGCTTTGTCATTAATCATTACAAAATAATTATCTTTTCACATATAAAATTTATTGATTTTTTATTTTTTTATACAAATATGCAATTTAAATTGAGTTTGTGTGCCATAAACTAATATATATAGAGGCAAAGGGCAAAGCAACAACTAATGCATGCTCTAAAGGAGTAATTGAATTGACAAAATAATAATGTTTCAAATAAAATATAAAAACAGATTTTACTATTTTTTTTATTAATATATAAAGAAAAAATTATTTTTGTTGATATATAAATTATAAAATTTACAAATATAATCATGCAATTTCTTCAAATTTTTTATATAGCACCTCTAATTTTAAAATTTTATATTATATGACTTTTGTAATAAACTTTAGCAAAATATTAGTTAATTTATTTTATTTTTTATTTTAGCTATTAGAAAGATAGCTAGATGCAGACATAAAAAATTGATTAGAAAATATTAAAAAAGATCTTTCTTTTTCTTCTCCCTAATAAATATTTTATATGACATTATTTTTTTTTATTTTTTTTTCATAAGTTTTTTAGGTCTACCTCTATCTTTCTAATAGCTAATGTCATATAAAATCAAACAAATTATTAAAAATGATCTTTCTTTCTCTTCTCCCTAATAAAATATTTTATATGACATTATTTGTTTGATTTTTTTTTTCATTTTAAAATAATAAATTTGTATTTTAATCATCATATATATTTTATATTGTGTATTTTTCTTTAAAATTAATAACTTTAACCAAATATATATATATATTTGTGTATTTTCTTTAAAATTATATTGTGTATTTTTCTTATATATATATATATAATATAATATATAATATTAATCCAAACAGAAAATAAGAAATCAAATTTATTATTTTTTTTATAAGAAAACAAAATTTTCAGATGTATGATTGACCAAAGCTCTTAGAACTTCCAGTTAGGCTTCATTTGAGACATTTTTTACTTCTTTTTAAAATTATTTTCTAGTCCACTTAGGCTGTTTTAAGAAGCAGTAAGAAATCTGTCTCATACGAAGTTTTAATTTTATTAAATATAAGAAAAATTTTAACCATATTATTTAATAGCAAAATATTACCAAAACAAATGGAGAAAAAAAATCAGAAAGTTCAAAGAAGGAAGAGAAACACACCATAGCAAGAAGCAGATTCCTTGGACTGTGATATTGCTCCCAATCCCTCTCCTCTGCAAATTCCTGAAGCTTCTTTGAAAGCTCTTTGAGTCCCAAATCTTTCTTCTCCAAAGTCTCCATCTTCTCTTCTCCATCTCCCATTCTCTCTCTCTCTCTCTCTCTCTCTCTCTCTCTCTCTCTCTCTCTCTCTCTCTCTCTCTCTCTCTTCTTGGATTACAGATTGGAGGAGAAGAAGCACCTATTCTGCTGCGTTATAATTAAGGTGGAAGGTGTTTTTTATAGCAATTTAATCAAACAAGTCATGCAGAATAAGAACTATTTTAAGAGTAATTAAAAATGACAGACAAAGTTTGTTGGGGGAGGATACCACCAATGAAATGGCAAAGGGAGACATTTTAGAATATTTTTAATTAAAATAAGCGCATATGGCATGGATTAAAGGTTACTAATATGCCTTGTTTTTTTTTAGAAACTTATAATTTAAATAGTAAAATTAGATTTTATGATAAATATTTATAATGCTTGAGTGCTAGAAAATTCATAATTATAACAAAAAATTTTAAATTGTAATAATATACGAAGAACTTGTATACAAATAGATAAAACAAGAGTTGTAAGTGACACTAATGTTTTTACGTGGAATATTAAAAAGGGAAAAATCATAGGATTTGGCTCAGTCAAAATGATTATATTATGATATGACATTGATTATAAATGAGATTATTCCTTGTAATTGAGGAAGCGTTAATATAATGTACAAGACATTGTTTATAGTGAATTTATTCCATCGTGAGGGTTGTAAGCACCTCTATGCATTGGAGCTATCTTCAATAGGTTATTTATTATATGTTCGATCATTTGCCTTTGAGAAGAGAAGACCAAAAACTAGGAAGTCCAATACAAATTTTGGCAATAATGTAGAAGGAGTCAACGTTCATGCCAACGATGCATGGATCATATAGATAGTGGTGAGTGTCAATGTTGGTGGCGACGAAGGGCAACAAAGTTAATGCACTCATATAATCGGGTGACTATGGTCAGGATATCTTAGATGGGCAACATTAATCATGAGATTGTAGTATGATAATGATAGTTGGAAGATATTAGTCAAATGAGAGATTGGTATGGAGATTATATTTAAGCAACACTAGTTGGAAGATCATTATCAAGCAACGGTGGTCAGGAGATCATAATTAGGTGATGGTGGTTGAGATCATAGTTGTTTGATAGTGGTTGGGTGATCGTATTTGGGTAATGGTAATTGAGAGATTGTAGTAAGAATATTCATGACATTAGAGAGATAAAAAGTTTAACATATTAACTTTACATCAAGATGTAGTATACACATGAATAAGAGAGGGGTATAAGAATTCTAAAGACGCATGAGTTCTATAAGAAAAATGCCATACGGAGAAAGTGTTTACATCAATCAAGCATGATACCTTTCCTTGGAGGAAGGCATTGATATAATGCAAAGAACATATTAATTACCTGGTTTAAGTTTGAAGTAACATGTGGCACATGATCTATCTTTAAGAGATCATTTGCTTATTTGATTGGTTGTACTCATTTGAGAAGAGAATACCATAGACAAAAAATATCCAGTGTAAATCCCATTGTTGGCCTTGGTAGTCAAAGCTAATATCAATGATGTACATTGATCTCATAGGTAACAATGTGCTTTATCATTATTAGCAATGGTAGGTGACGTAGTCGTTAACAATCATTAGAGTAGCTAGGTGATAATGGTCAAAAGATTATGATGATGCTTTGAAGAGTTATAGTTGGGCAACAAAATGTAATAATCTGAAAATATGAAAAAGCATCTTAAAATGATAATCTGAAATTACTTTTGAACTGGAGCTCTTCAACGCTATGCTTGATAACGTTGCGGCGCTAGGCTGCTAACAAAATATTTATATACATTTTATTTTAAATACTAAGCACTAAAGCACCCCAACGCCCTCACCCCTCATTTTGGTTGGCTTGCCCTAGAAGAAAAGAGGGAAGAGAGAGAAAGGTAGATTTTAGTCATTTTCATATATTGCATAAGTTAAGAAAAACCTTATGATCATTGTAAGTAACCTGATCTCATTTTGGTCTTCAATAATTTTGAGTTTAATGAATTTAATATCTCTAGAATCGATAAAAATGTATTTTCACTTGATTTATCACATTTCTAGATTTATATGAACTTTATAGACATTTTAGCTGTAATATCATTGAATATTACATGTTAAAATTGAATTTATGACTTTCTAAAATTATAAATTAATATAAAGATTTTATTTTGTAATTAATAGATATAAATTTAGGGTTTTAATGCATGCACTTCAAAAGGAAATCTCTAAACAGTCCCTACATTCAAATTTCCCTTCTAAACTTCTCCCAAAACCTTCCTAATATGCTCTTCTTGTTCCGTTCGGTTTAATCGGCATGTAGGAGGCGGACTCTTCCACCTCTGTTGTTCGTAAGCCAGTCCAATATGGACTGGCTGGATCGATCTAACAGAAAATATTAATGAAACTACTTTGGTAGTTGCTCATTCCCTTATGTTGCATTTCATACATGAAAGAGATATTAATACAACTAGTATAAGAAAAATATGACATTTATATAAAAGTAAGGAATGTTGGCAGTTAATACTATAATTAATGTGAATTTAATGCTAAAATATATTACACTGCGTAAGTGGGTGGTCCGACAAATTTTTCTTTAAAGATGATTTGTGATGTTATAAATATTGTATCTTGTAACTGATAACTGATTAAATTGACGGGCAGATGATGATGAGTCTTAATGATTTATTGAAAGCCATATGTAATAATAATAATAATGATAAAGTAATGATACTGACATTGATAATGATGATGAAATAATGATACAATGAATACAGGTGAAAGAATGAAAATATAACATCAAAGTTGGATATCTTGCCTTATTGGATTATATATTGATACATACAAATATTAATAGCATTAATAGATGAATTATATATTGATACATAATTACATACATACATACATTAATAACATTAATAGATATATTAGTAATGTATATGCACATATATCATAGGAATGGTATCTTTAACTGATTTCATGTAATATATAATTGATTAGATGAACAAAACTGACGATATTGACACCTATATATATGTTCATGATCTGTACTTCTAATTTTTTTTTATCATTGATTTATTGATTACCGATGTATTTATGTTCTCGCACATGTTATTGATTTATAAATTTAAGCATGTTGATCTTTACCTTTTATTATTGATGATCATATCGAATCGTACAATTGATAATATTGAATGTTATTGATTTTATTAATTGAGAAGAGCATACATATTGATTCATTAAATCTTATATTGAAAGTTTTATTGAATTTGGAATTTTTGAAAGATTTTGTAAGCTCATTACATGATTTTAAAGATTTTAAGTAAGAAAAGTGGTCATAACTTTGTCTTGTGAGGTGGATTAAGATCTTCAGGTTTTCTCTTTTATTTTATTTTTTTTTATTCTATTGTAGTCAGAAGTCATTAATAGATTTATTAATTATTAACGATCTCCTAGTTATTATAAATGTGATTTTGATGAATACATATAGAGAAATATTATAATGTTTATGGTATTGCAATTGCTTTTACTGCATAGAATGGTTAATAATGATGGTTTATAGAAGCTCTAATAGGTTATTTAAAAAGATAGATTAGAAAAATTTTCCAATTTGATCTTGGGGTAGACATAAGTCAGAGGATCATAATTAGGATTATAATGGTTTGGGAATTGTCCTCAGGCGAGGATGATGTAAAGATCATATTTAGGCAATGAAGGTTAGAAGATCAAATTCACGTGATGGTGGTCGGAGGACCATAACATGCCACACAAAATATAATACAAAATCCTAAGTATTAGGAAATAGCCCAACATTATAAAAGCTCCATACATTGCATGACTTAATATCTCTTCAATAATATAATCAAATAAGAAAATATATGACAAAAAAAATATAATCATAAATAGTCGCAAACAAAAACTATCGTTGTGATCAGAAAGACAAAATAGTAAGAAATCTATTTTTGTTTTAATAATTATTAATATATATATTATATTATAAATTAAAGTTTTAATAAAAAAGTTATTATTTTAAACTAAATTAATAATATTAGAGGCAGAAACTGTTATGGAGAAATCAATTAATGTAATTTCTTTTATTGTTTTGAACTTTTGATCATTAGATGATCAAAAAATAAAATTTTGAATTAAGAAATTACGCTGTCACGAACGGTGGAGTTTTCTCCCAATGCGAAGATCTGACGGTCCAAAACGCGAAGCAAACCCCACGTTCCTATAAAGACGATAAAGCCTCGCGCCTCCAGCCGGCGAGACGTTCGTAACCCTAGCACAGTTGCTCCATTCTCAGTTCCTTCTACGAGGTCGCAGCAGCCATGGTGATTGCTAGCCCTTTTTGTATTTTTCGGCATCGCTTCGTTCTCCTTTATTTATGCGTTTTTCTTTTTTTATTTTTTCTTTGATTCATGTGTTCTTGTTTGTTGTTGTAGCCTTTCCAGAGGTACGTGGAGATCGGTAGGGTAGCCCTCGTCAACTATGGGAAGGAGTACGGGAGGCTTGTTGTTATCGTCGATGTCATCGATCAGAACCGGGTGCGGATCTCCTTATTTTTGTTTGTAGTTTTGGGATTGGGAATTAAAATTTTGTAGTTATATGATCTGCTTGGTTGAAATTTTGTGTTTTTTTATTAGAGTCTCGGATCTTTTTAACATTCATCATTTTTTTGCTTTGCACGCATTGCTATACTTAGCAGATTCTTTTTCTTAAGGAAATTGCTTGCTTGTAGATTATTTTGTGCTTTGGCATCATTTGATATTATCCGCGATGATGGTTTTTCTTCTTACCTTGATGTTCTCAAGAAAAGCGTGTTTTCTGTTGATGCTCTTGGTGGTATGTGCTTCTGAAATTAGCCATCTTTTTGTTTATATTTAGATTTTTAAAAAGTAAATAGAAGGCTTTTTTATGATCATACTACTGTAAAGCGTGAATCTTTTATCATTATGCCATCTTAAATTATGCTACTTGTTTTTACTATGATGGTCATTGGGCTTTCTTGCGGATAAGAAAACCTAATTACTTACCTACTTGCTGCTATGATTTATATAACTCTAAGGATTATATTTAGTAAGGACAAAAAGTGCAGATCTATACAGTTTTATTTAGTTTGGTTAGGATGATCTGACTGTGCTCGTATAGGTGTCATAAGTTGCAACAATGATTGAAGTCATTGAGCTTAATATTAACCTACATTGCGGGTATTTATTTGAAGGAGGTTACTGCTGATGCAACTTTGCAAGATGCCTAGAGGCATTGGTTGGGTGATTTTATATTTAGCTTAGTAGGCTTGGTTGGATCATTATCATAATCAACAACATTATCCCAACACTATTGGGGACTGGGTTTATGAATATTCATTTTTTATTTGTTTCTTTTTAGTGCTACTCAGGATTTTAAGTCTACTTCACGGATATCCATTTAGATAATTTCTATCAATATTGCCTCTGTGATGCCTATTCCTCTTTTAATCCTTTTTATATTAAGTTTATCGACTTAGCTTATTGGCGTATACTTTACTCTGTTGTATATTCCCGCTCCTCTAACTCTATTTTTCGCTATATTATAATCAAAATGTGCTAACTCTCTTAGTCCCTCTTATTTTAATGTCTCATCTATCCTTCCTAACTTTGCGCTCTCAAATTGTGCCAAATCTACTTAGCATTTTCATTCTGATGCACTCAAAAAAGCCATCTACTTCTTTTTTTGCTCAATTGAACAACACTTGAGACCTTATTACAAGCAATCTAAGTTTATTTTAATAAAATATACCCAAGTATAAACTCAATGATATGTTTTATCACATGGAAATCTTGATGTATTTCTCCATTCAGCAATCCATAATGTGCTCTAAAAGTCTTAACTTTAGAAGTTATATCCACATCTACATTCTCATTCTCTTGTGTAATAGATCCAATATACTTAAACTTATGGTATTTAGCTATCACTTGATCTTTTAGTAATATTAACTTATAATTATAAATTTCAAGCCACTAAAATTGTAGGTCGGACAATCAACTTTTATTTCACTAATTATAAGCCTCTTATCTTCTAAGCATTTTCTCTATTGTTTTAAATTTTACTTATTTAATAAATTTCTTGTCTATTAGCACTGTCATCCATTGATAGTATGCACCATATGAATATTTTGTACAAGCCTTGCTATGACCACTATAACAATATATTAGCTTAATGTTAATCTTTGGTAGAATATTTGTGATTGGAATCTATTTGATCATTCTACAAGTGGTTCTCTTTCAAGTCAATGTTGTCATATATTTTTAATAACTTCAGCTTACCATTTTCCTTGATGTTTAGAAAATTAGTTCCTATGATAATAAATCATATGATTTGTTAAGATCAATATAATCAATAAAATTTGATGGATATTTGTTATTTGTTATGTATGTTTTTTTCTCTTATTTTCCTTGGCTAAAAATTGCTTTCATATTATATCATCTTGGCATGAATGATAATTCAAATAAATTCTTTGATGCCAACTTAATTTTTCAAGTTTATATTCCATTACCCTCTCCTATAATCTATTGTACAACACATAAGTTGTATTCTATTATAAATATGACAATATTGAAAATGTTTTTTTGTTATTAAATATTCATACCACAATTATTTTTCCCCAATCATTTTTCATCTCCATAGTTTTAACATTCCGATGAAAATATTTGCTAACAGACTACCCCAATATCTTCTGACTTTTGAAATAACTCACTTTAGTATTACCTTTATGTATTCAAGGCTAAATCAACTTCATTGTTTTCAGTTATCTATTTGATTGTGTATGGATTTATCCATTTTTACAATTTATTTAGCATTATCAAAATCTTTAAATTTTTTATCCCTTAGCGATTTTATAAATATTATTTTCTCGTTCCTTAGTGTTAGGGTGTTATATAAACCTTTAAAAGTTATAAAATTAGTTTTACTAAGTATTCTCTTTGCAAGATTTTTAACTTTCTTTGCTATAATTATTGTAAACCTCAAATTATTATATATTTTATATATAATATATATATATATATATATATAACCTAAATCCTAATTAAAATGATTGAGATCACAACGGAATTCTTGGGCGAATATAATATGTGGAGTGTAGGATGCACATGACAGATTATATTATAGTCAAAAGAGGACTACAACCTTACTCACCCAAGACAAAAATCTAAGCAAAGGAATAATAAAAAAGATAAAGACCTACTAGTGTTTGATAAAATCAAGATTTTTACGAGTCTCCAAGGATCATTGTAAAGTTTAACCAACCCAAAATAAGGAGAGAACTTGATTAAAACTCAAATAACATAAGTAGATTACTAATTAGTGAGTTATTAGAGATTATTAATACTTTAGAACTTTTAATGACCTCCACTTCTTCGTAGAATCTTCCCTTTTATGCGTATTCTTCTTTTTTGATCTTCTTGAATATCAGTCTTCTCTGCTCTTGTTGATTCTGAGAGGAGTTGGGGGAGAGATCTCTTGGTTTTAGAAGAGAAATAGGAGATTCTTAGGCAAAGAGAGTAAGAGAGAAGAGAGAGAGAGAGAGAAATTTAGCTTGATTGATAATAGCCATATGTAAGTTATAGAATAAAACAAAACAAATCTATATAAAATGTAATTGATAACTTATTATATGAGTGATTTAACTTATATGATAATCAATCTTATGTAATCCCCAAATACATTAAAAATAGCTTTTGACTTGTCTTAAAATTTCTTTGGATCATGCCCTTGGATAGCCATACTTTTAGGGGATGGAAATCTTTATCTCTTACTCTGTGCAACCATTGCTCTTTTTCATTCAAATTGATTGTAGTTTTGACTCATTCAAACTTAGTTTACATGATTCTATTGACCCTTGCTTTTGTTGTTGATTGTGCACTTTGTAAATATGTTAACTTTAACTTATTAAACTTCATAAATGTCTTCACTAGTTCTGGAATCCTTAATGTGCTTGTCTTGATCCTTATCCTGAATCTTGTATTGAAATTAGGTTAAGTTGACATTGATGTAGGAGACTCCAAGATCAAATTTAACCACTTTTTAACTGTGTATTTTTTTCTTAATAAACTTATATAGTTTCTCACTCCATCTAGTCTCCTTATGTATGTTTTATTTATATTTTCTTAAAATTATTATTTCATTCTTCTTAATGCACTCAAATAACCTATGTTTTCCTATATCAAGTTTAGTTCAGCTTTATAATTTCAACTTTCCTACTTAAGTGACTTATCTTAAAAAATTAGCAACTTCTTCCTTTCAAATTTAACTGCCTTATCCTAAGTCTATTGTTTTGTTTGAATATTTATTTATGCAAGTAAGACTGATAATCTTATTCAAAACTAAAAATTTATTTGATAATTGTTAGAATTCTAATCAACTTAATTTGAAATTGATTTGCTTCAACTTGAGATTGGATTGGTTGAAATTAGTTCGATTCAATTGAAAATCAACTTGATGCATGCAAAATACATATGTGCGTGTCTTCATACATATTTATACAAAAATATAGATATCATAAGCATACTATTATTTATACTTCATATATACATGTACACTTTTATTTAACTTTGTTAAAAAGTTTTGTATAAATTTGTGTACTTAAACCCATTTAAGAATTGGTAAAGAAAAACTTTTAATGTAGAGGTTTTTGCCCAACTCAACTTGAAAATCGACTTGGAATCGATCATTTCAACTTTGACTTAAACTTAGCTTGTGTCGAAATAAATATTTTAATTTCAAGCTATGACCAGGTCGCTTGGAAATCGATTAAATACAATTCTCACTTTTAAGATTTATATCCATAACTGTTAATCTATGTTTTATGGTTACAACTTTATCTTGTCATCTTGTTATGGTTTTTGCAAAAATAAATGTCTTCCTTAAAAATTTACGAAAGTATATATTTGATTTGGTAGCTTCATTTTTGAAATAACACTTTATTCTTGTTCCATAAAGTACATATTTGCTATTGTTAGTTCATATACTATTGCAAAATCAAACATATATTCAATTATCACATTTGTATCTATTAATTTGTACCCATCATGAATTCTCTCATACCCACCCTACTAAAATGTACGTCTATTTAAGTGATTACCAATAGTTATCCTCTTCTTTAGTTATGCTTTGTGCATCCATCTTTTTTTTCGAAAATGATTTTTCAAGCCTCTTAATTTAACGTGAGAGGCATAAGCACCGGTCATATTATAATGTTTTCATTGATAATTACTTAACAACAATCAGTAGGTCATTAATCTTATTCACTCGTTATTTACTATTATTTTTATCCAATTCTTTATTTTAATCCAATATTAAATGGCCTTTAAAATCTACTTATTTCTTTTACTATTTCTCTTTCCATTTGGTTTCTTACAACGTTGGGATTCTCTTTTTTACTGTTACAAGCTCTTCGGTCTTCCCATTTAATGACCATAATTACATAGAATAATTTTAAATTTAATTTTGTACATAATTAGAACAATGTTTATTCTTGCACACGTTTAAACACAAGTGGGTCATGGTTCATTATTACGGGTAACTTCTAGCCAAGCTTTGCTTTTTTCTCATACTGATATTTGTTTTTTTCCAAATAATTTATTAATAATAAATAGAAAATTTTTAATGAATTTTTTGATTGACTTAATTTTTAACGTTGTTTTGTTTGTCTTTGGAATGATGCCATAGTGTTTATAGAGGCTGTAAACCGGATCATGGTTGGGGTTCAGCCCACTGTTTTCCATCTATCCTACGGTAGCAGCATGACCTGGATTTGGGTTCTCATTCTGCTTTGTTGTATAGGAGATTTGTAATAAGATTGTTATTCTTGTTCAAGCAAGGCCTTAGCTTTTTTTAGACCGGTCCATTGGATCAATCTAGCCAGTCCACATGGGACCAGCTTTAGACGGAACAGAGGTGGAGTCTTCCACCTCTCCTTTACGCCGATCGGACCGCAGGAGCCACTGAACAAGTTTAGGAAGGTTTTTTGAGGGAGTTAGGAGGGAAATTTGAATGGAGGGACTTTAGAGATTTCATTTTGGATTGTATGCATTAAATAGTTTGTTTTCCTAAGGTTAGAGAATTATGAATTTGGCTGAATTTTGAGATCTCTTAGGTTTTTTTTAGGCTCCAGCAGCGTCTAGAGATTTGGGAGAGAGAGATTCTCCTCTCGAATAGAGGATCAGTTGTATCTTGTTATTTCCTTCCGTTAGTTTTATTATTGCAAATCTACTATTTTTCTGATTTCATTGAAGTTTGGAAAGAGTTTTTTCGCAGTTTTGTTTGAAATTGATAGGATTTATTTGAAATCTTCAAGTGTTTCCTATCACTTTTCTAAAGATTCTAGATACCATTTTCTCAGCGCCAATCTTGTTTGGTACACCATTAGGATTTTTACTATAGCTAACATCTGTTCTTGGTTATTATTATCTCAGGCTTTAGTTGATGCTCCAGACATGGTTCGTGGTCAAATGAACTTCAAGAGGCTCTCCCTGACTGATTTCAAGATCGACATTCCTAGAATTCCGAAGAAGAGCAAATTGATTGCTGCCATGGATGCAGCTGGTCAGAGCACCAGTGAAACTTCTTGAACCTGTGTTTGGATTCTGGGAATTTGAGTGAAAAGAAATGAAAAAAAATATTGAAAACCAATTGCTGTAGATTCATTATTTAGATTTCATTTCATTTCTTTCTTTTTTCCAACAATCCAAACAAGGCTTTTTTTAATTTTTTTTTTTATTTTGTCCTGCGGAATAGGTGATTTTATGAATATTTCACTGCAGATGTGAAGAATAAGTGGGAGAAAAGCTCTTGGGGAAGGAAACTTATCGTGCAAAAGAAGAGAGCTGAGCTGAATGATTTTGATAGATTCAAGGTTATGTTGGCCAAGATCAAGGTCAGTCTTTTCATTATCATTATTTCCTAACCCTTAAAAATGGTAAACACAAACTCTTAATATTATTCTTCTGTTTGTTTCTATATCTTCAGAGAGGGCATTCTATCCGACGTGAGCTTACAAAACTAAAGAAGAGTGCTTCAAAGTGAGGTCCTATAGAATTACCGGTTAATGGTTGTTTTTTTCGGCTAGTGTTTGCTGTCATGTTCTTGAATTTCCATTATTTTACCTTTAGGACAAATGTAGTTTGGTCAATGCTATGAACACTGGATTCTTAAACTTTTGATATGAGCACTTTGTTTTATTTTTTTTGAATGATTTTGTAGCTGTGCTTTATGATTTAAATGAACTTGAGACTTAAGCTTCGTTTCAGACGGTTTTCTTATTGCTTCTTTAAACAGCTTTTTAGTTAAAAAATTAAAATTTTTGTATTAGAAAGCTACTTTAAGAAGCAATAAAAGCCGTCCCAAACAAAATCTTAAAGACTCGTGATCTCCTTGCTCTCTTAGCACTTCATCCCAACAGAACAGCAATATGTGAATGAAACCAGTTTGTGTGAATATGTGTAGGTTCTTAGAGAATATAGAAATGGAGAGAGAATTATGTGCGGAGTCTGGTTGTAGCTTTTCATTCGAACTCCAATGATGTGTTTACACGTTTATTTTCTCTTCTGCACACATCCTGCCTACAAGAGAATTTTTTTTTTTTTTTTGTAAATACGTGATTGGTGATTGGAGTTCTGATGCCGTCCGGACTCGCTCAATAATTTTTCCTAAAAATGAGCTTTTGATAGCTCAATGTTAAACTAGACAAGCTGGAAATTTCTGAAATTCCCCCAATGTCTTATTGAATTGATCTCTGGTTTGGTTTATAACTTCACATGGGATCTGTAACTAGGGTTTTGTGGTAATCCCAAATCAATGGGTTGGAGACAGTTTATCTAAATGAAATCAGTTGAAAGTATTGTCTTGTTAAAGTTTATTTATTAATTTGGTGATAGTGAAGTTTTGATTTTTTTTTTAATGATTTACTTGTTAATTTTTTATCTTAGCTGTGCTTAATTGAGGTTAAGTGATATGTTCAATATTAATAATGTAAACATTAAATATTATTGAAATTATAAATTTAATATCATTCAAATTATTTGATGAAATTTTAAATTTTAAATTTTTATTTATGATCTTTCAATTATTTAAATAAATATCAAGCAATTGCACTAATTTATGTATGGGGTGTTTTGGTTTGAAATAAAATCAGTATAAAATATTTAAATTGTGTGAGTTTTATTGATATTTGGTTTACAATAAAATATGCAATTTAAAATTTTAGTGCATTTAAAATATATCCTATAATATAAATTTGATGTATTTAAAAATAAATAGATTTAGATGATTTTAAAATATATTCTAATTCATTGTCATTTCTATTATCTTATATTGTTAGTTGACCCCCATTAATATCAACTACGAACATTGAATTGGTATCGCCGCCATCCACCACTACCGTTGCTGCCTACTCGTTCCTTCTACCGGTGTTGCTATCTATCACCCCTTCTACAAGAACTGCCATCATCGATAGCCATCAGCCACTGATCACAATTGTCTTTTAATTTTACATTATATTCATTTTACTTTAACAAAAAAAAAATGTCACTTATATTTATTTTATAAAATATTTCAAAAATAGTTCATTCTTTTTATATTATTTTTCTTTTTTTTTAGCCAACCAAACAGCTTTAATGAAAGCCCAAAAGGTTGAGATTCTGGAGATGCATCAAATTGGTCTGTTACTAAAAAAAACTCTAATAATACATACAAACGCAAACACTACATCCGAATTCACGTTGTAAGCTACTTAAATTCTCAATTTATGAAAGTTTATTTCTCTGTCTCACCAAATTGCAGATGAAAACAGTTGTACATGAGCTATAATTTTTATAAACAAATGAATTCAAGCAAATACACAACTTCCATAAATTCTCAACTTACACAAAAAAGAATCTTACTGTCATTTGGAGTCACGACGATGTCATTAGCTGAGAGTTGTGGCCCTTTCTGCCGAATTTCCATAACTTTCTGAGACCTTTTTGATTTTGCGGCTTCTCCACAGTTTCTGTCGTTTGGGGTAAGGGTAAAGAGCTTAAATATGAGGCCTTGATAGTCTCTGTAGTAATCATAGTCGTTTCAGGATTGGAATCATGGGGTGTTTCAGCATATTGAAGGATATCAGTAGCAGCTTCTTCTTCCAAGGATGATGCTCTTGCAAATGGAGCCTGATAAGGCTTCTCAGTGACAGCAGGTTCCAGCAACTTCTGAGAATTAACCTTCGAGAAATCAATAACAATCAAGACAAAAATATTCACCTATATATATATATATATATAGGTATACATATATATATATATAGAGAGAGATTCCATATATATATAGAGAGAGATTCCAATATATCAACAACAATAACAATAAATCTTTATCCCACAAGTGGGGTCAACAACCAACGTGAATGCATCAATCTTTTACTGAGGTTCTAATGCATCAACAACCAAAAATACGAAGAGGTGGCAAGCCGTCAGAAGTTCAGTTGAAGACAGAGGCGGAGCCACGCACGGGAGTCGATCGGCAAAGAGGCAGCAAGCTGGAGGGAGTTCGGTCGAAGATAGAGGCGGCAATCAGCGGCGGGTAAGGGGCTTCGGTTCCTTGCGGTTGTGGTCACCGGGCTTGGCGTCGCATGAAGGAGGTCGAAGTCGGAGGAGTTGGGTCAACGACCAAAGGCAGCAGCTGGTCGGAGTAGGAGGGAGAGGCAGGCTCTGTTCGGCAGGTATCAGGCGTCGATAAAGTCGGCTAAGGCAAATGGTGAAGGCAGCAGCCATTGCAATCGGGTCTAGGGCAAGGCGGAGGGCGGCTGGAGTCGATCGGCATGGTCGGCGTCTGGCGTCAGAGACAGAGGCGGGCGGCTGGAGGAGGTCAGAGATTGGCCAGGCCGGAGCGGGAGAAAGCAAGCGTCCGAGAGATCGAGAGGTAAGTTCCCTTTACTTCGATTCTCAAAGCGTGAGAGTGCAAAATAGGACAAGCAAGTGTTTTCTTTAGTGTGAGATCGTGAAGAGCGACGGTTGGAGGTCGTGGGATCATGGATACCGATTGTTTGAGTCGTGGGAGCCGTCCAATGGTTTCAGGCTTTAGGTCAACAAGGACCTCAGTTACTTAAGTGAGAGAGATTGTGAAACTCTTTAATTAAAAGAAAGTTAAACTCTTAAACATCGATGCGCCTTTTGGTGTAATTATTGAAATTTCTATAAGAAACTCCGTAATTAACTGCGCTCATCCTGGAATAATTTTGGGATGGTGTTGACCTCTACACTGAATAAAACAAAAAAGAGAGGATCAAGTCTTCGTACCTAGACACCGCTTCGCACAATCTCGAAATTGCGCAGATCTCACAGCCTAGGCGTCCTACGCCATCTTCGCACGTCCAGCGTCACCTCAAACACGACCTACCTTGTTGTTAAAACGAGAACGAGGCTAGAGGATTAGCCTCCTCTTCCAAAACCCCCATCTTTCCTTCTTCGCCTCTTCTAGCAAACCCCACGTCACCACCTTCCGAGCTCACGACCCCCATAGTGAAAAACCTCCATCCCCGCCTAGTAGCTCACGTCTCTACCTCTTCTTTCACTATGCCGCAAGACCTAGCGGAAGCTCTGATCTTACCTCCCTGTAGGCCGACCCCAGAGCCCCTTTGTCCGATTCTTTCAGCCAGTCGAACCTGGGCCTCAACTCCTAGCGTCCATCCCTCTTAAACCCAACATGATCTCCACTTTCCTACCTTGCCGAACGATCTCCTCTAGATCTAGAGCCATCCGACCTCCCCTCTTCAAAGCCAAATCCAGTCGAGATCCCCACGAACCAAAACCGAACTCCCCAGTGGAGATGCCAGAAATTTGTGGGCTTCGAAAATTTGGCCCGGCATCCCCTGTTGCTTTCTTCAGGGGAGTTTTAATGGAATAAGTTTTGGGGCCGAATTTTCGGAGCTCATAGATTTCTGGCGACTCCGCTGTGGATTGGTTTCTCTTTTCATCTTTCGCTAGTCGTCTAAATGTTATAGTAGCAGTAAAAAAATTAATGATAATAATGAGCTCTTTACATTGAACATCAGGATGTGACATCTGGTCCCTATATTCAAAAAGCAGTTACTGAAAGGTCCCGATAGAGGTAAAAGCAACCATCTGCTATGATGGTAAATCAAATAAATGATCAAGATATATACGGTGAGTATCGAGGTGAGACACTTGGATGCATATCAAAGAATCTATCGCTGAAAGGTCCCGACATAATAGAAAACAAATATGGAGACTAACTTCTCTTGAATATATATATATATACACAAAAGAATGGTGTGACATCTAGTGTGTATCCTTAGAGATCCTCCATTAAAAAAATTCATCAAAAGTCGGTCCCAAAGAGGACCCCTACAGATAATGTTCTCAATGGTCGACATCTTGGAGATTTCTCCAAAAAATTCCATCGCTTTTCAACTTTATCCTCTCAAACTGAAGAGGATTCTTGCCCAACCTTCATCAGTGCACTTCTGTCCGAAGAGCAAGTGGAGGAAATAAAGGAGCCCCCCCTGTGAATCCAGGGATTGCTTTGCTTAGACATACCCTGAGATGTCCGGCTTATCCCCTGATATAACAGTTTGTATATTAGCCATAAAGTCGGATGCAACGTATGTCAAATAAACTCCAAGTAGAATGGAATTGGAGATTGAGGAACAAGTGATTGCCAAAACCAAGAAGCTCATTGAGACAAGCTTCATTGGTGAAGAAAAATATGCTGATTAGATCGCAAATATCGTCCCTGTCAAAAAGAAGAACAACCAGATTCGTATTCGTATCGATTTTCAGGACCTCAACAAGGCGTGCCCAAAAGATAACTTTCCGTTCCCTATATCAGAACTACTAGTAGATAACACGTCCAACTACGACATGTTCTAATTTATAGATGGATCGTCGGGTTACAACCAGATCAAGATGACACATGAAGATGAAAAGCACACCTTATTGAGGTCCCAAAAATTTATCAGAGATCTACAACCATGATCGTACCGATGTACTTTTAAGTTATCATATGTATTTGTATTTTATTTATTTATGTTTGTATTTGCTTTAGTTGTTTTCCCTTTTTACCCCTTACTTAACGGTGGTCATGTGTAAGCCCAAGAGCGGCGTCATCTTTTATTTTTGAGTCCACTATATGAGATTATATATAGCCCTTATGTTCTATTTTGATGGTTAATGAATGAATAATAAATTTTTTCTATGTTTTAAATTCTTGCGACAGTGTGAGAGGTTTGGAGAGAGATCTCTTGGAGAGGGAAGAGTAACACCACCAACCTTGGAAGAGTCCGGATTGGTGGTTAGTCGTATCTTTTCTTTTATTTTTGAGTCCACTATATGAGGTTATATATAGCCCTTATGTTCTATTTTGATGGTTAACAAATGAATAATAAATTTTTTTCTATGTTTTAAATTCTTGCGACAGTGTGAGAGGTTTGGAGAGAGATCTCTTGGAGAGGAAAGAGTAACACCCACCAACCTTGGAAAAGTCCGAATTCGTGGTTAGTCGTATCTTCCCACGGTTCCTTAGCTCCACTGCCAGCCCTCCCCACTTCCCCCACCGTCCTACCCTTAGGTTCATCCCACCACCACCACCTCAACATCCACTCTCCCTACACAGACGTCGCCCCCCTCACCCCTACGCCTAGCCCAACCGCCGGCATCCAAAATCCTAGCTAAAGCCGCCGGCCCCTTTGGGCTTGTCCTCTATCAATGCTTGCAATTACTTCCTTCCTAATTGGGTTTTAATATTTTAGCTAACTCAATTACTTTGCAAGTTCAAATCTATTTGAATTTGAAATTGTTACTTAAAATACAAATCCTATTTTTGGAAATTTGCCAAATTTCAACCCTTTGAATTTTAAAATTAATTGGGAATTAATTAAGCCATTCCTAATTTAATAATCAATTTAAAGAAGGCTTGATTCTATTTCCCAAAACCCCCTCTCTCTTTTTCCATGCCGCCGGCCCCTCCTTGGGTCCCCACCTCCTAATTACTTTCCAACTTCAAACTATTATCCTTTGGAAGATTTTCAAATCCTCTTTCCTCCCTCTTAGCCGCCTCTCCCCTCACCCCTTTCCTCTTTAATTATTTCCAAAGTTAAGGATTAATTATAGGAGATAAATCTTCAAATTTCCCTCCAACCGAAATCCAAAATCTGAACCTAATATTTCCCTAAGCCTCCCTCATTGGGCCGGCCACTTCCCCTCCCTATTCACCACCTCACTTCGTGATAGAAACTTCTTTCTCTCTAGACGAGCCTTCAAGGGAAGCCACGACGAACGTCTTCAAACATTTCAACTCTTTTGAACCAATGAATGGTCGATCCCGATCTTAATTCCAGATTCATTTACAACGAGCAAGGAGACGTCAACATTCTCCGGTCAACCTTTTTCGACGTCAACTCAGAAGTCGATAGCTCCGCCGAATAATAATTGGACCGCATCATCTTCACACTATTTGAAGCAATCAAAGAACAACTTGTCAACGTTCAATGGCAAATTGTTTTTGGACCTCGACAAGGGTGAACTTCTCTATATTCATTTATCTTCTTAATCCACTAATCTTGTAGGTGGTGATTTAATTGCAAGGATTCGTGCTTCACCCTCTGTCTTTGCTTAGTAATCGTAGGTTTCGAGTTTACTTTCTATGTTTCTAATCTCAATGTTAATTTAGGGATTTTATTGAATGACTACTTAATTTGCATCTTGTTGAATTTCTAAATTAATTTGGTGATTCAAGTGCCTAGCTTGTGATTTGGCCTAAGCGTAGCTACCCCTCCGTTTTCTATCATCGTTTAGTGGCTAACAATTTTACTTATTATTTGTTCTTGCTTAAATCGTGCAAGTTCTTATCGCATTTATCTAAAACATACTTAATTCTGCATCAATTGGTCTCCTCGATTCCTTCCACATAATCTAATTTTATATGGAAGATCTGCTAAATTGTCTGGAAAGAGATGCCACCCCAAAAATGCACCAATTTAAGGAACATCATAGCAACAAAATTTGGCCGAACAATTTTATACGAACAGACAACTGCCCCGTTTATCTGAAACCAATTTGTTCATAAAGCTTAAACTAAACCCATCCTTAAATTTAATGTGATAAATTCCATTAAAGCACTAGCGGTTTAAGAAAAGAATCTAAAATATAACTCAGAAAGGCAAAAGAAAAAAGAGCCAATAGCAAAGATATCAGGTAGTTTCCTTTTGCTTAACACAGAGCGCATACCGACTCGATAGGCATTGTAGATCAGTTAATTAATCTAGTCAAATCAGTTAATTAATCTAGTCAAAGACTATAATGGTTGTTTTTTCACAGGGCATAAGTTAAAATGCTGCTAAATTTTTAACTTTACCTCAAAAGAGTTGATTGGATCATTCTGGTTTTCTTCAGTTTGATTTTCCCTTTCTACTCTACCAATGGGTGAAGAAGCACAGATAGCAGCATACCCAACATCTATGGTAGCACTCTCCATTTTGGTACCCCTGGGTGACTCAACTACTGCATCTATCCTCCCTTCGGATGTCTGAGCATGAAGAGCAGGGACAACTTCATTTTCAAGTATCACTACAGTCTTCTCAATCAAAGGATACTCGTCAGTGTGGCTAAGCTTTGGGTTCTTCTCTGGATTTGTTTCAGTGCAGTGACTTTCCGAAATCATAGAAATTCCACCTCCATTCACTCTCTGTTGCATGCTGCTTGACTTGTTCTGAAGTACCTCTGAATAGCTGCTATCTGCTGCTATCATTAGCTCTGGCATGGTTTCTGAGTTTTTTTTGTCTAGCTGTATCATTTTTGATCTAGGATCCTCATCTAATGCCTTCTTTATCACTTGACTAGAACTTGCTGATTTAGCTGGAACACCATGAACTCTGCTGCCTTTGGGTTCTGAAAGTCTTCTAATTCTTGCAGAAACTGAATACCCCTCTTGTTTCTCACTCTCTTTCAACTCCGCCAATGATAATACTCCATGATTCAATTTATTTGATGTAATGGTTTTAATATCTTTGTTAGAAACAATGGACCCTACTGAACCAGATATTGGCAACTTTTGCAGAGGCAAATTTGATCCAATTTCTGAGTCTCTAACTTTGGAGCTTTTTTCAAGGTTGGATTGTTGCGTGTTAGTTGATGATTGAAAAGCTCTTGGACCATTTCTTGAAGATATCCTTTTCTGTCGTTCTCTTTTCAAAGATTCCAATCTTCTTCTCTCTTCCTCTTCCTGGAAAAAATGAAAAAAAAACATATTAAAATACTTTAGATATGGAAAATTCCAGCAGCACAAACTATGCTCATTTTTGGGATACATGAATTGCTAATTTGTATTATATATTCCAGATCAATTACTTGAAACTTACAGCTCTATTTTTCTATTTAGCAACCAACAATAAATTAATGATGAAAAGCTATATTAAAGTGGATGGTTAACAATATACCTGTTCTTTCTTCAGCTTTTGAAGATCAGATTTATAGTTTCTTAACTTCTCTGCTCTCTTCTGTGCTTCAATCAGTGTGGTAGGCCTCAATGATGTCATCTTCCTCATACTTGTATCCTTTCTTTTCTTCTCCAATTCACTCTGAAGAGACTTTAGCTTTACTTCATCACTTTTAATGAAGGCCTCATTGGTGCTTGCTAAGACATCATCTTCTTCCTTCTTGCTTACTTGCATGGCAATAAGAGGAACCTGAATGTCATAATCTACTGTTTGATTATAGCCAACTAATTCACTCTCTCTTGTATGTTCAAGAATCAAGGTTAAGTCATCTGGCTCATAGCTGACCATACTTATAGCCTTGCTCAAAAAATCCTTTTCTTTCTGTGGAGCTGATCGGAACTCAGAATCCATGTCAATAGCAAATCTTGTGCCTACTCCAATCTGATCTTGGGTTCCCAACCTACAAGGAACCACAAAAGACTCATCAATGACAATTGGTGGGGAACTCTTATCAAATTTATTTCCTTTCTCATGTTCAAAATCCACTAGAGGATCTGAAAAAATCTTGTTGGGCATCTGCTTCTCCAGTCCATACATGATGAAATCATCACTTATAACTTTTCTGTATCCACCAACTCCAACATCTATTTCTTTGAACTCAGCATCTGCTTGACTGTTAAAGTGAACTCTACCTTCAGTAGGAACCACAAAAGACTCATCAATGACATTTGGTGGGGAACTCTTATCAAATTTATTTCCTTTCTCATGTTCAAAATCCACTAGAGGATCTGAAAAAATCTTGTTGGGCATTTGCTTCTCCAGTCCATACATGATGAAATCATCACTTATAACTTTTCTGTATCCACCAACTCCAACATCTATTTCTTTAAACTGCGCATCTGCCTGACTGTTCAAGTGAACTCTACCTTCAGTTGATACTAAAAATTCATCAGTAGAAACTGCCTGCTTGGTTCGGCTTCCCTTGTTACTAAATGAATCGTACTCCATGATACTTTCTTCCTGATAATTACCAGAATCCCTTGTAGAAAGGAGGATAGGATCAGGACCATCTTTATTATGAGCCTTTTTTAATGGAGGTTCCTTCTCACCAGCAAATATGCCTCCATCAATAGCACTGGTCACTTTCTCTTCAGCCTCCAGTAAAAAACTCTGGAATGCTTGCCAGTTTCCAGCTTCTGCTTCTTGTATATAAAGCTCTTCATTCTTGCCATGTGCATTTGAGGACTCAGTAGTTTCTTGGTGATTATTTTCTCTTTTTAAAGATTCTGACGACTTCTGTTCCCTCCCTCCATGGTCAAAAAACATTTCTATAATGTTGTCAGTTTCAGAGTCGGAAGTAGATTCTGATTTGTTTCCCAATACCTCATTTCTCTTAGCTGGAATATAATTTAAGTTCTGAATAACCACTACACCCTTTTTCTTTCCAGAATGACCAGCCTTTTGGTCTGATCTGCGAACTCTTGAAGGCTCTTCCTCATACTCTGATGTATTTTGACCTGTACCATCATCCGAGTAGGAACTACCATCTTTGCTATACTTAGAATGTTGCTTCTTTCCCTTGCTTTGATGAATATTTAACTTAGGATCTTCCATTGGAGGATATAGCGAATGGAGGAATTGACCATCCATTGGATAATTCTGATAGAAGGGCATAGCTTGCATTGGATATGGTTGAAAGAAATATGGATTTGGCTGAGAATGCGAAGGCCATTGTGAGAATGGTGGGTGCTGAATCTGTCCTTCATACGCAGGCTGTTTATGGGGCGCCTGAGGCTCTGAAAAAAGCTTTTTATCTGGAAATTAAAACTGCAATTGTCAGAGTTTCCAAATTTTATTCTCGCTATTAACTAGATACATATAATACAAAAATGTTTGTGGTGCAGACTGTAGAGTGTACAAAATGGGTCAATTTTACAAGTTGTATAGGTTAATGGTAGAAAAACAAAAGAAACCCCAAAGTATGTAAATGGCTTATACATCAGAAGAGGGGGCAGACAAGAACCCGAAGCAGTAAAAGCTTTGGTTTATTTATCTAAAACCAAACCATATAAACAAATACCAAAACTAGGCATTGCATGTGAAATAAACAAAATTTTTAACGAAGAGCACAAGATAAACAATGCAAAGGAAATGCTTAAAAAGATAAAATCTGAGTTTTGTATTTAAGTGCAATCGAGACATTTCATTTAAACTGCAAGAAAATTAAGTAAAAGAAAATATTGGTCCTTCTTGCCTCTATCATTGTCCAGGCTTGTTGCATTTCCATTGTTTTCCATGCTCACATCTCTGCCAGATGCAGACCATGCATCAATGAACACTTTTTGTTTCATGACATCCTCGGAAAAAACAATTCCAGCCGCATTCAATGGAGGAAACTCAGATCTATAGGACAATGCTTCTGCGGCTTCAACTTCAATCCATTGTCCACTGTCATGTTTTACCTCCCATAACAGCATATAGCGAGAGCATGCCTCCCTGTTTTAAGGGCGCAAGATCAGAGGATAGAAATTAAAGAGGATGAAAGTTGAATTATACAGATTAGCTCATAATAGAAGACCCGTAATGTGCGTCACTAGTAAATTTGTTCGCCAAGACACATTATTTATCAAGAGTTTATCAAATCTGACCAATATGAAGACCCAGCTTATGTATAAGATCATGTAACTCTTTCACAATTTAGTTATGCAGCATTCCTTTGTTGTTTGATTTTTGACCGTTGAATGAATCCCACATTTCAATGTTGTATCATTTAAATAAAGTGGAAGTATTCATTGAGAACAACCTACATCTTATTATCAGTTGAACCACTTACCTCAATCGGAAAGCACCAAAAGACTCAGCAAATGACATTAAATGGGCTATGTTTTCCATTTCAAAGCCAGCTGCTGCAGTACGTGCAAAGGCCATTGCCTGTTCCTTTTGCAAAACTTGTTTGCGGCTCTCAAGAACTCTTACAAGCTGAACTCTGCAGAAAATTTAAACAATGAATGACAATCTTAATTATAGAACTCAAAGAAGGGCTCCAACTGCAAGAATTCAAAAAGGGTTCAAACAAAGATTTTCCATTGTAGCATCAGAAAAGGAATAATGATGCCATGAGATGCTAATTGCATTAATTTTCAGTATGTAATGATTTTAAGCTTTACTCTTATAAATGTGATATGATAATTCATCCACTAGAATGTTAGTTGGAGAAAATTTTAGCACTTGTTCCATGCTCGTACTTTGTTTATGCAACCAACAAGTTACAAAAGAAAGTCTTCTTAGATACTGATTTAGGCTTCGTTTGGGACAGATTTCTTCCCGCTTCTTGAAAGCCGCTTTAAGAAGCAGTAAGTAAGCCGTCCCAAACGAAACCTTAATGAATATAAAGTATTCAAAAGAAAACATCTGCAGTGGACAACTTGGACATACTTAGAGTTCTCCTCATGCACTTTGGATTCATTAGTCACTGCTGGGTTTGAATGAGATCCAGTCTGCAAAAAATCACAAAGAATTTCCTTCAATTCAAATTCATAAATAAGACCACTTTTCTCAAAATGAAGATTTTTTCCACTACCTTAAAAAGAACTATCGCTTTTTCATTATCCACACCATTCATCTGCATGTTACCTAAAGGAACATTTCAACACAAACATCATTCCATAATCCACAAAAGAAGGGAATAGAGGAAATAGTGCCAAAATCACTGAGAATTAAGCACATATCAGACTGCATGAAGACGTGTTGATGCTATGGAAAACTATGACGAAATGCAAACATGAAACTCGATGTCTTTTCTTTTTTTTGTACTATAAAATCCCTCAACTTTTCTAGGTTGCACTGAAGGTCGTCTAAAATATGATACACACAAATAGAACATAGAAAAATTAGTCAAAAGAAACATTTAACTGTAACTTGAGAGCCAAAAAGGAAGATCAGAAGAAAAGAAGCCATAAGCAGGCTCAGTCACAGATTTCCCTGTATTTCTAAGTAGTTTCATAAAGGATGTTTTGAGAATTCTTCTATGGTTTCTTCAACCACCGTAGTAGGGAAGGCAAAATGGAATGGTATCTGAGATATTAGAGCTTAAAAATAAACTCCGAAATCAAAATCATAATGAAATCTATAGTAGGTCTTAACTGAGTGAAAGTGTATAAAATTTTTAATTTGACTGTGTTTATCTTCTTTCCATTGCTTTTGCTCTCAATAATAGAATTAGGCCTCATTTAATTCCCCAACAATAGCCATCAATCTTTCTAGTATTTGTGATAATTATCTGAATAGACTATCAATCTGTGCCTTTAAATGGAAGAGGTTGGAGTAAGTAGATAGAATGGAAGAGTAAACATTCACTAAAGTCATTACAGAAGTATAACAAAGCTGAACAACAATTTCTGCATGGAATTAAGAAATACTTAAAAGTACCTCCACTGCCTCCAAATGATCTTGGCTGTTCTTCCAACTGCCAAATCAGAAAGGGCAAATTGTCATCACAAATTATCACGAACTTAGCTTCATATAGGCCGCATGAACATTTACGTTCATTACTTACAGTGCTAAGCCCAAGATTATCATTCTCTTGACTTGAGATTGCCTCCTCGATCTGTAAAATTTCAGATTCTATGGTATTAACTCTTTCCAAGACCTCTGGTGTGCTCACAAAACGAACAAACCTAGGAATTATAAGAACATCAAAGTAAAGAACCTCCGCATGGTCGTTGTTAATCAACATAGAGAGCTCAAGCAAGATTCTTAAAAAAATCAAGCTGTGTTAGTGAATAAAAGAGGAGCATTAACCTCTCTACCGTGCCCTTCGTAAACCATGCCGCGTCACTATATGGATCTGGTTCAAGTTTGATAGAGTATCCACCTTTTCGAATTTGATCCTGAGCGGTCTTCAGATGGGAAACAAAAGGATTCAATAAACCAGATGCAATCTTCTCTGTTTTCCCATTAGCTATAACCACCAAATCACACCTGGTGAAAACAGGAAGGTTAATCCCCCAACAAAAACAGCTAGAACATTTCTACCGGCAATCGTCAATTGAAATTGCATGTTGAGATTTATAGATAGTTAAAGAAATGCTCAAAACCATTAATTAAACTCGAGAAATTAAGCTGGGAAAAAAAATAACATGTAAAAAGAACCGAAAAGAAGTTCAAGGTAAGAAAAATCCAACCATAAAAATGAAGCCCAATCATCCAAAAAAAATCTCTTTTCTTCTAAAAATCATTCAAATTAAATCAAAATCACTATACGTGGAGCAGCTGGAAGTAATCTACAGACTACCGACATAAAAAAACAGATTTAAAATCGGTAAATCACATACAAGACAAATTGAATCAAACAATCGCACAACATGCCAAAATTTCCAGCAGATGAACAAGTGATAGCTTCCTTCACTTAAAACTGTCAAAACAATCGAAAAGGAATCCGGCAATAACTCCAAACTGATCAACATTGTAAGACAAAAAACTTGAACAAGAAGATAGCTTTAAACTCGGCAAGGATCTTGAATTCGACCTAGTCCGAGTCGGCGTGAGTTGGAAGACCGCCGAATCCAGCCGCACCTCCGACCTCATTGCAAGAAACAATGGCCGCTTTCTCTCTCAACTTAAGCGAGGGACGGAGCGGAGCAGCCAATCAAAATCTTTACTGCCTCATCTGCGCAAGGTGCTCAAGACGCAGAAAGGAGGGTAGCTTCAAGGAGTTTAATGGCGGATAATATACATTTGGGAGGAGAAACGAATAAAAAGAGCAGGACGAAAGAAGCTTTGGCGAAGAAGAGAGAGAGAGAGAGGAGTTAGAAAAGGAAAGTGGCGGAGTCGTTGGTTAAAATTTTATTAAAAAATATTTAATTTCTTTTAGATTAATATATATACATTTTAAAGTAATTTTATTAATTCTTATTTTTATTTAAATTAAATTTTAATTAAAATATTTGACTCAAATATTTTATATATTAAACGGTTAGTTAATAAATTATTTGTTATATTAGTATAATATTTAGATGTATAAACTATTAAAAACTTTGTCCTATATTTTAATAAAGAATTCCATATTTTTTAGCTTCCAAATATATATCTTGGCTTAATTAAGAACGAACTTCATAACAAATATTATAAGGGATTTATAATTTTTGTATTGAGAAATAAACATCATAAAATTTCAAATAATATTTAATTAAATTTAAATATGTAAATTATTTTTGTTTTAGCTAGAAATTATTTTTTAACATAGGCCGAAATAATTATTTTGCCTTTAAATGTTTCCACTATACTAACATTTTAATTTTAATTAAAATTTGATAGTTTAACTATTTGATAACATGAAGTTTAATTCTTTAAAATTATGATATTTTTAAAATTTAAAAATTGGTGAAAAATCAATATGTTAAAATCAAGCAAATAGTTTTAAAATCCAATAAAATAAACAAATGCTCCTTCTCTATCATACAATGTATTATTAAATGTAATATAATATATTAGTTGCATGATAATTAGTGAATAAGATATAATAGCATTTATATTAAAATTTATATTATTATGTATGATAAGCATTTCAATGAAAGTAAACATTTGATGAAAATGTATTAATTCTAAATAGATTTTAAAGGAAATGTTCTTATAAAGGCTAAAGGGTTCCACTTAGTGCAAAAATATTATAATTATAAGGACAAAAAATCAATTTGTCATGCTTTACTCAATGAATTGATTAGAAAAATTTACTATCATTTTGTTAGATATTTTAATATAAGTCTAAGACTTTGTTTTGGACAGCTTTCTTACTGATTTTTAAAATAATGTTTTAGTATTATAATTAAAAATTTTATACTAAAAAATTGCTTTAAGCAGTAAGAAAGTAGTTCCAAATGAGGCCTAAATGACAATGGTAATATCAATTCGTTGTATTCAAAATGATATTTTCATAGAATAAAATATAAAATGATTTATAGAAAAAAATTACTATTGAAGACAGAGAAACAACAATTCTACAAGAAACTGACTGTAGAAACTTAGGGTTCGTTTGAGACGGTTTTTTTATTGCTTTCTAAAACGGAGTTTTAGTACAATTTTTTTTATTTTTGTACTAAAACTTCGTTTTAAAAAGCAATAAAAAAGCCGTTCCAAACGAAGCCTTAGTCTCCGACGAAAAAGGTAAATGCATTTTTGAAGAAAATGTATAATCATATTGATAATTTGGTCCAGTAATTAAAAAAATCTTAATTTGTAAATGAATAAATAAAAAAGTTATAAATTGTTATTATAGAATAATTAAATTTTTAAAAAATGAGAAAGAATATATACAATTTTTTATGCTAAAAATGAAATTATATTTAAGATGAATTACTATATTTGATGTGATTGTTAATATATTTTGAAGTGAGAAATGAGTTGATCGGTTGAAGATGGCCTTAATTTTAGGAACAATTATTAGGTCCAGTGACCGGACATAGCTCTACGTGCGGTCACCACTGAGATTGCGCCACGTGCTCTTACTCTTTACCGCGTGGTCCGACGACTTGATCTGGACTGAAACCCGGGAATGCTATGTTCGTGTATTGCTAGGTATTACTCGATATTTGGTCGGTATTATTAGGTATTGCTTGACAATAACGAGAAATACCGCTCTGTGAAGACCAATACCGAGTAATACCTAGAAAAACTCGGTATTGCTCGGTATTTGTCTTCACATAGTGGTATTTATCGTTATTGCTGAGCAAAATCGACAAATACCTAGCAATACCGAGCAATAACTAGCAATATTGGGTTGTCATGGATTTAAAAAAAGCACGTGCTACATACCCACTATTCGCCGGGTCGGGTTTGCGGTTTTGTGCTTGCTATGTGGTGTGTTCTTAGTGCTCGCCAAACATAGCTCTACGTCCGGTCACCGGACCAAATAAATATTAGAGTAGGGTTATCCAGCAAATTGGCATTTTTGTAATATCTATGATTAGCTGTTGTCTAATGACGAAATTACCTCAAAGTGGTAATGGTGGTTGTAGCGTTGCTCTGTGGACAAGCTGTCGTCGAACTGGCTTTGAGTTGACTGACGTTCAGGCGCACCTTCTCAAAAAGAGAAAGTGGGCCCCGCTATGTATGGAGACAGAATCCAAGCTGGCAGAAAAATTGCTCCGAGATTACCAACTTATTTACTAAATTGCCATCACCGTCGACGGATGTGCGCCGCACACGCAGTCCCAAACGGCATGAGCTCCTCACGTTGGGCTTTTTAAATAAATAAACAAAGTTAATAATGTAGATAATATTATTAGAGAATTATTAAAAGCTTATTAAGCCAAAATTGATTTCCTTTAGATCTAATTTGATTGCATAAAGGTTTCATTTTTATTATTTTCTAATATAAACATTTCTTACTCTAAAAAATTTTATATTGAAAAGCTTTTTAAAAACAATATAAAGAATGTTCCAAACAAGCCTAAGGCTTATTTGGGATGGCTTTTATATTGATTCTTAAAATAACTTTTTAATAAAAAATTAAGAGTGCATTTGAGATAACTGTAATTATAGATAAAGCAGATTGTGAAATTGTTATCCAGAAAGCTATTTTCTAAAATTGTTGTATAGAAATCTATAAATTTTGTTTGGATAATATAATTGCCGAATTGCTATACCGCTGCTATAAGACAACAAATTGCCTTGATTTTCTTACATATATGAAGAGAATAAAATTTGTTCAAATATAATATTTTTTTAATCTTTATGTTAATAGAAAAGCACCCCTCAAACTTAAGGGAAAATTCTATAAGATGGTAGTGAGGCCTGCAATGCTTTATGTTGCTGAATGTTGGCCATTAAAAGAGAAACATAATATTAAGTGTGGCAGATATGAGGATGCTCAGGTGGATGAGTGGCTTTACCCTTAAAGATAGGATACGAAATGAGCATATACGTGAAAAGGTTGGAGTAGATCCAATAGAAGATAAGATTAGAGAGAGTCGCCTTAGATGGTTTGGTCACATAAAACGGCGGCCTTCCAATGACTCGGTTAGAAGATTAGAGGTATTAGATTTGACTTATGTTAAGAAAGGTAGATGCAGACCTAAAAGACCTGGTTAGAAAATATTAGGAATGACCTTTCTTTATTAGATTTAAACGAGAATTTGACATTTAATAGGACACAATAGAAAAAAAAGGATTCATGTAACCGACCCCACGTAGTGGGATAACGGCTTGTTGTTGTTGTTGTATGTTAACAAACTAACAATTTTGAATTAAAATCAAATTATTTTATCAAAATTTTTATATAAGTTTTTATGTATAAATACTATAAATTTTTATTGATATTGTACTATCATACTTCAAAATAATTTATTAAAACTTTAAATTTTCTAATATAACTTTATAATAAAACATTTTCTCGTAATAATACAAATATATTTTGATTGATATTTTTTGAGAAATTATATCAACAAATTGCTTGAAGAGATAATTTTGGGGCATCAAATTTTTTTTTTTCACTTAACTATGTACAACATATTAAATATCTGAAATCTAATTTACTTTGAGGCATCAGATTATTTGGATAGAACAAACCTGACAAGCTGGCAACTTGTTGAAGCAGTAAAATGTATAATTAGAATTCTTTCAATTAGCTGATTTCATATTCACCACTAGCCTGGACTTCCTTGACATGCTTCTCTTTCTCTTCTACTTCCTCTTCCTCTTCCTCTTCCTCTTGTAATAGATTGCCTGTGCTATTTCAATCAAATCCTTTGGCAAGTTCTTCAAGAACCATAAATTGGATAACAACATTGGAAGAGCTTCTTTTCATTCTGAAGTAAAAAGTGGTTCAACTCCAGGTCACATGGCACGATGGTTGGTACAGAGAACATGTGATTTAAACATGGTTGTAAAAATCGGACCGAACAACGAACCAGAAGAAGGAGAGGTTCAACCGGTTGAACCGGGGTCAAACTGGATGACGTAATAAATAATAATATTATTAAAAATTATAAAATAAATGATAAACTTTCCTCTAATAAATTCGCTGTACATTCCATTTTATAATTTATATCAAACTATTCATAAAGATAATGAAGTCAGAGGAAGATGAGTGTTTGCAACTCCACAGCTCTCATGCATTTGCTGGTTTAGAGAATCCTAAAGATTATAAGAAAAATTAAGATCCATTGCAACAGAGTTAAAAGCTTTCACGATCTCCACTGGCAACAAAGATCATTAAACAAATTTTCTGGAGCCAAATATATTCTTCATTGAAAGTGATGGCCATGAATCATTCCATTTTGTTTAAACAAAGATAGTCATTAAACATGGCATCTTCAGTTCCTATCATTCAACAAGATAGCATTACATAACAAAGGCAAAATAGAAACGAGAAAGAAATTACAAAGCATGATCTTGCAAGCTTATATGGAAGACGATGAATAAATGATTAAAAGTTTAAAAAAAAATGGAGAGAATCAGAGAATAGAAATCTCAAACACATACTTCAGATGCAAGTCCGAAATCCCAAACAAAGGCTGCGATTGTCCAACTAAAATGAGAGAATCAGAGAAAAGAACAAGAAATGAGAAATCAAGAGGACTCACCAAATGACGACGTGTGCACGAAAGAAAGCGTCGTTCGTCTCTCGGTCTCTCCTCTCCACTACGCCTCGTTCGCCGTTCGTTCGACTTCGGAGCTCCTAGGGCTTGTGAGAACAACTGAAAGAGAAGAGGTAAAAAAATGGGGTTTCGGGCTTTCGACACAGAGCTTATTCGCGAAACCTATTTCTGCAGTCCTTGGATGTGCGATCAGCGGCTCAAATCAAGCTTTTTGGAAACCGGCCGGTTCATTTAAAAGCGTCCAGTCAAGCGGTTCAACGGTTCAACCGGTAATTTAATAGGTTTTTAGGCGGTTTGATTGCAAGCTGGTTCTAAGAGTTGCATCGGACCGGCCGCTCGACCGGTTCGAAGTTCAACCAGTTGAACCGACCGGTCCGATCCGGTTTTTAAACCGCTGGATTTAAATACTTTTCCATACCTTATTAACAGTGAAAAATAAAACACATCCATTTTAATTAATCATTCAAAAGAAAGATTACATAAAGGAGAAATCTCTGTCTATACTTTTCATTTGTTTGTATTTGTGCTTTTAAGATTGTCATAAAGCCACATAAAACAAGTTGTTAACGTCAACTAAAGAACGGAACATACAAAGTATTCTTATAAATGGATCATCTCCTCAGCACTTTCACCATCTCTCAAATCATTATTTGTTACATTTTTATCATTATCTATTAATGAATGTCCAATTCGACACTCGTATGCTTCTTCAGGTATATATGATTGATCAATATCACAAATATTAAATTCTGAATCGACTCAAGAAGGATGACAACATATGTAATTGTGTAATGTCATCCTAGCCACCACTATGTTCACTTGCTTATTAAATGAATAAGTTGACATATCATGCAATATGACCCATTTCTTCTTCTACACACCAAAAGATCTTTCAATTACACCTCGTAATGACGAATGTTGCTTATTAAATATTTCTTTCCTCCCACGAATTAATTGATTACCTTTTCAAAATCTAGAATATGATAACTTGTTTTTGAAAATGACTTTAAAAACCCATGTTGCATCAGATATAGTGTGCACAAGATAATATTTACCTGTTTGAAAGTGTACATCAATTTGATAAATTTCATTCAACAATATGAAGCTTTTAAATATCAACAATTAACTTGCAGATAGAAAAGGAAAATTATGATCATGATTATGCAAAACAAATTTGAATACACAACTGTCATGTGCACTAACCTCCAAGCTTGCCATTATAAATGTGAAACACATATTGAAATCACAAGCTGCCATAATATTTTGTGTCGTTGAACTGCATTATTCTATATATACCACATTCTCATTATTTAAAACACGTGCATGTACATGTATTCCATCAATTGCTCCAATGCAATCGTGATTGAGAAATCCTTCTTAAATATTATATAAATATATAAGCATAATTCTATTGCTCAACATACTTACCTTGAAATATTGCATATAACAATTATCATATTGTATCTCTCCGTGTATTTCAAAGCATGAGATCTATTGTCTTGATAACTTTACGTGATAAACTCACTAATGAGTTCAACCCAATTGAGAAATATTAACTAATTGTCTCTATTGAATGTTGAAATCGTTCACAGGTTGACCTTATCGATTCGTTATGTGACAATATGTACAAGGTGATCACTAATAATTCTCTCGATGTAGTCCTTGACGAACCGTGAAAGCCATGACCAGTTTCTATGTAAAAGATCCATAAATACTAATCGAGATATACGAAACATATTATAAAAACTATCACGATGACCAGATAATAGTTCAACAATCCATTTATCTCCACTATATGATGAGGTCATACATGAAGTTTTCTAAATATATATTTCATAATATTCATTTATGAGACATATAGCCGCTATAGCTATTGTCCTGCGCCGATCATTTAGTAACAAATCATTTCCATACACATTACCAGTAATACCTGGACAAAATACAACAAAGACAGTAACTACTCATAGTTAAAAAAAAAAAAAAAAAATTAAAAAAAAAAAAAAAAAAAAAAATTGAAGGAAATTTATAAAACAGATATATTTTCACAAGCTACATCACACCGCTATAACACAGCCACCAATTTGAACTTCTGTATAAATAACAAGCTGCATATTGGTAGCTCATCGTTACCTGCATATCTTCAAGAGATCCAACACAGTAACACTTTGATTACAGGTTCACGAAAAATACACGTGATGCATACGTATTTGTGCAAGTAACAGTATAAGAAAAACTGATTGAAATGATATTTATGAAACATATAGAGATGAGAAAGACTGGAGCTATCTAATTGAAAATGGAGTGATGCTAAGGTATATTTTCCGTGTACCTGTAATCAGAATGTTACTGTGTTGGATCTCTTGGCCAAATTCAGCTAACGGTGAGCTAAGTAGATGCTGCATAAATATCTTTTGAAATATTCAGCCTTGAACCCCACCAGAGAGGGAATCCCCGCCTTTTTCAAAACCCAACAGACCACGTTACCATGAAATTCAATATGCACTTAAATCTTTATAAAGTATAATTTTCCATTTCCATTTAAAACAAATAAACATCAGAAAAGAACAATAAATGAAGCAAACTTCACAATCTGTTGCAGCAAATTATGTCTGATATCGTTACTTTGTAATAATGTCATCTTAATACAAATCACTTTCACTATAAATGAATCTACAGGAAATGATGCGACTTCATTTGATTGTCAATTAACAAAACAGAGACGCAGAAGTGCAAGTTTGAAACAAATAAAGGACTTTAAAAAATATAGGTTATATATTTTTTTATTTTGTAGAGAAATAAAAGATTTAAACCATTGCTTTCAATCAACTTATCTTTGCCCAATTACCTCATGTGATAAGCATTATGACAATAATTATTTCCACCACACAGTACAAAGGTGGAAATGATTTAATGGTTCTTTATTTGGAGTACAACTGTTCAATCTAAACGAAACAACATGTTTAAGTAAAAAAAGTAGTCTGGATGAAGTAAGAAATTGCATTAAAGAGCTTAGTAATCATATGTGAAATTGATAAACTATGCATCCCGATTTTCATAACAATAATGAAGATAATGAATTCTTCGCTCAAGCAACATAGACATGATCTAATCAAGCAGTTTACTTGCATCAGAAAGTAACGGAGAGTAGGTTGTTGAGAGCGATACATTTGATACTGCCCCAATATTTGTGCATGCACTTACAAGTTCGGTAATTTGATTTAGTAGGAAACCTGATCCTTTTTTTTTCTTATGAATTGTATAAATTGAAGTTGCTTGACGTTTTGAGTGGTTGCAATCAGTAAAATCATATATTTTTTATAAATGATCTTCAGAATAATCAATAACATTCTCTAATTGTTAAGAAACTCCCCCAACAATATAATACCCAAAAATGTTCAATTATGTAAGTAAAAAAATTCCCTATAGCACTTAATTTGACTTTTAATTTGGAGTCTCATTGAGTATTATAAAAAAAAATTATTATAGGATAATAATATGCCGGTAGAAATCATTAATTAAAAGTCATTATTGCATTTTACTGTAGATATTCCACTTAGCCACCCATGCAAGCGTTGGATGGAGATCAAGTGGCTGAAATGATAATGGAAGTTTAGCGGAATGTTAGTGGAAAATGCACTACCTTTATAATGATATTTTATTACATTTTAAAACACTAGGATAATATATTTTCCTTTCATTTCTTCCACTGTCGGATAAACAACAGTTAAGCAAATTGGATGAGGCATAGGGTTCGGCTGCTGGAAGGCTAAGAAGTTCTGATTGCATAGGTTGGGAGGATCTAACTGTTAACTGTTGGCTGCTGCTGGCTGCTGGAAGCTGAAACCATTTGTTGAATCAGTTTTTCTTAGGAGAAACAGGGAAGGGGGGAGAAGCTAGGACTTGTTGGTGGTGAGAGAGCAGGGAACTGAAGGTGGCGGACTATAGTGTGGGGGGTAAACTACAGTTTAAGTGCTGATTTGCACAGGTAATAAATCTGAAAGAAACATTAGTTGTTTATATGGTATTTTGTGGAATAGTGTGTGAAATCAAGAAGGAAAGAAATGAAAGAAAAGCTGAAATTTAGTCATAGTGTGTGAAATCAAGAAGGAAAAAAATGAAAGAAAAGCTGAAATTTAGTAATAATTGTTGTTATTATTATGGCTGCTATATTGCCGGCTAAATATTTGCTGACAAATGCTAGGGAAAGATTTTGGTGAATGAAGAAACATACATTTGAGACTGTTTACAAAAGGAAAGAAAGGTAGAATATTATAGGAGAACCAATTGACGATGAGGTGAGATACCCAAACAAAATTATAAGAATTAGTAAATGTTTTATTATTGCACTTCTTCTTGATTATGTTTATGATCACATGTATTCTAGTTGATTTTGGTTATTTTGTATGAATATGATTGTATATTTATGAAATTGTTTATGTAAAGGGTAATCTTTAGCAATGTGAATGATTTCGTAAGCATAAAAGGGTACATATTCATAAACTAGTAAAGTGTACCAAAAGCAACCCTAAAGGGCACAAAGCGCACCTAAAGTGCACTAAAAGCGCACACAAAGTGCACCAAAAGCGCACCTAAAGAGCACAAATCACACCTAAAGCGCACTTAAAGGGCAGTAAAAGGGCACTTAAAGAATACCTAAATGACAGTTAAAGGGCAACAAAAGAGCAGCTAAAGCACAACTCTGTCATGAAAAGCATATGTCATTAGGGCTAAAAAGGATGAATATATGAAAAGTGAAATAAGTTATATATGGGGGATAGACCCGCACAAGTAAAGGCGAAAGACCTGATGAGGTAAGCCTACACTCTTAATTCTAGAAGTTGAGAAATTTGACTCAACCCTGAATGAGAGAACAACTTCCATTCTAAAAGTTGAAAAATTAGACCCAACCTTGAATTGGAAAGTTGAATGGTGCAAAAGCTTATAGCCATTCTATAACTTATTTAAAGATGTGGAATAGTTTTGAAAAGATGAATAATACTGTTAGGCACTTTCAGGCTCAATATAACATTTCAATATGTGTTTTAATTATGTTAGCATAGCTATGATATTTCTTAATGGTTCATTATTATTTCTTATAAATTGCTTATGTATTTCATTGAGCCCTAGATCATTAGCAGTGGTTATACTGTAGGTAAGGGAAATGAGCCCGTAGGGAACTAGGCGAGAAAGAGGTGATCATTCGTTTTTGGTGTAAATATGTTTTGGTGTACGAAGATATCTTAGAGGAGATCTTAAGGTTAGCTGTATAAACCTTTTGGTATGTAAGTAAATTTCGAAAGTTTTAGTAGAGCTCTGTATTTGTTTTAATTATGTTTGATGTTCAGTAAGATATGTTACATGTTTCCTATTATTAAGTGTGGAGTTTGATATGTTGTAGTCCTTCTCTGTTATACTCCAATTTATGTTAGAGGGTGAGCCAAACTGGGGTGTGACAAACAGTATGCTGTTTAACATCTTCGCTAGGAGCTCATGCATGAGCACCAGTAGAAACCATCCCATGATCATCATGTCGAGCTTATCCTCAAGTTCGGGATCTACACCATAATATATGATTTTTTTTTGCATTTGTAATGACCTATAAAGCGTAGTTAATTGTATATGTTAGAAATTGAAAAAATGAATTTGAGGATAAGATACATATTTAAATATATAATAATTTTATGATCACCTGTAATTTTTCTTTCTACCATTTATCTGGGGCATCAATAGTCTTCCTTCTAGGATCCCAACCCAATCTAGTTGATCTTTGCTTCAACTCCTTCCATAATTTCCAATCATTTTTTAGTTGATCCCATTTATTTTTCAATTGTGTTTTGACATACTCTCTACTTGTTTTCTCTTGAAAAAATTTCATTAAATTCATCCAACCATCCCTATTAAAATGCGTGGTTTAATCTCCTTCAAACATAAATCGCAAAAAATCAATTTAACATCACGCTCCCAAGTTGTAGAAGCTCCCCCATCCTTAGATTTACCCATTGTATGACCTTATTATTAAAAAATAAAAAAGAGAATCAATAAGTGGATTCAATAAAATGAAACCCGAATAACCAGAATTTTTACATGTAAAAAAAAAAGAATGCAACAACATCAACAAAATGACTTTTGTATTCAATGAAGGCCACATATTGAAGTGTAGAAATATAAAACTACACCACTGCAGTTGAACGTGTTTTGAAATGCTTTTGCATTGAATAGACCAAGATGGGATAAGGTAACAGAGGTAATTAGCAAACAAATTCAAAACATTATGTTTAGTCCTGTTTGATTGAGAGACTTAAGGGGTGAAAAATCAGTGAAAAAAAAATCATAATGGTGTTAGTTTCTTTTACTCGGAGGGCTTTGAGACATCTTTAGGACTGTGATGGTATATATGATTCAAATGAACAATAACTATAAAACTTCTATTGATTGTTCATCCTAGCTCAAAAAACAACATTAAAAGTTATGCGTAATGGTTAATTGTATTAAAACTCCTGCAGGTTAAATGATTAGTTTCATGGCAATAGGGATGGGAAGGAATGGCAATTGTTTGGATAAATGTTAGGGTATTTACTGTAGTTGTATGAAAAAAGAGCTACTAAATTAATCTCTCATTGTAATTCCACATATAAATGAAGAGAAAAAAAATTTAACCTACCGATTGAAGAATGTAATTTTCAGGAAAAAAAAAAATAAAAGGAAAGAAAATTAAGCGAGAGCTGAGCTTACTAGCAGTGCAAAAATGCTACGGAGTACTTATCGTAGGTAGGAGTTGGAGAAAATCGAGCAACTTCTAATCTAACAGAAATTTGAGGTTCGACTTATGGAAGTGGTGAGATGGGCCACAAGGAAGGAAAAATGGAGGAGTGGGCTGATACGACCGAACTTGGCGAAGAGGTAGAAGACGACGAGGTATTTCACACATAACAATAAGGGCATTTAAGTCTTCATCTTAGGATGGAACAACGGGAAGTAGGCGAACGTGGGAAACTTCCTTCGGACAGGAAAAGCAACTGAGGGACGCAAAACTTTTAGGAACGGAGCTTGACCTCGTTGCCCAAACAAAATCTCTGTTGAATTTTCTAACGTACAACAGCAAAAACGTTGTCCAAACACGCCTTAAATTTTTTGTACCATAAAACTGCTTTAAGAATCAATAAGAAAGTCGTCTCAAACTAAGCCTACGTATTTATTTAAAAATTTCATAAATCATTTTGAAGTTATTTGTATTTTGATTTTAATTTTTAGTTGAGATAATATATTTTAATGAGATGAATTTAATAAGATAAAAAGCATCTATATTATAGCTTAAATAAAGCACTAAGAAATATAATAAAAATTTATCAAGTACATACAAGGATAATCTACCATTGAATCATAGGCACTTCAAGTCAAATCAAGCATCTAATGAGATGAATTTAGTAAGTTACATAACAAGCAATTCTAAGAGTTTTGAAACATTACTGTAAAAAAAAAGTTGAAAATATATAAGGGGTAATTGGATCATTGGTTAGGTGTCCAAAATTATAATACAAATAATTATGGTGCCACTCGTGAAATTAATAAATGTCTTTTTTCAACTTATTTGAATGATTAACATAGATAAAACACGAATTCATATAGTTCAAAGCTCTACCACTTATCGCCAGATTTTTTATGTTCCATGTCAACCATATGATGATTGACGACGATTGATATCCAACATCTATTATGCCACATACCATAATCTAATCTAAAAGAATTGTCTCTTTTAAATATTCTAATTTACTACCAAAGACACTAATAAGCATCTATGTATGCATACGGAACACAATGAAAACAAATTTCATTTCATTTATCATTAAAACATATATATTTCAATTTCAAACGAAACATATACACTATCCATGAATACGTCCTTCAAATCATTATACCTCTTATACATTCATGGCTACAGAAAAAAAAAAAATAAATATAGACCAACAATCTTGATCAATATCACACTATCGGGTCTTTATCCTCCTTGAAATTATATAAACCACATAATGAGCAAAAGCCAAGTAGATTATTAAACCTACATTGAATCTAATACACAAAAATGTAGAATAATATGTATTTAATCATTCAAATCATATCACTATCATCAATTCATGTAAGCTAAAATATATCAATATGAACAATGGAATAACAAAGTATAATAATGTGATGGATTAGTGATCATTGACTCAATTATATTATGGGGTATTAAAAAAAACGTTATAGGAAAGCTATCATATGCATAAATAAATTAATACAATTTGTATATTAGATCTATCAATTATCAGGTAGTGTATCATGTTGAAGTTTATCAATACCCATGCCTACACATGTGTATTACGTATATTTACCTATATCAGTGACATTACATATCATGTTCATAGACAATAATGACTTATCTATATTTGTGTTATCATATGGAATCATGTCAAGCATGCATTTAATGTCATATTTATATTAAGAGTAAAAGCTCAAGATAATCCCTTAATTATTGATAAATATCCAATTTAGTCTCAGAATTTCATATTGCCCCAATTTAGCCACTCAACTACTAAAGTTGAGTCAATTTAATCCCAATGTTTAAAATAAGAGTTAAAGTTAACTCCAAAATTAAATATAAAGAATATTTTTGAGATTACAACCGTATATAAGATTACATTGCTTATATTACTCACGAAGTCTCCAAGTAGACACTACCATAGCTAAGCTAACAATTTTTTTATTTTAAGTTTAAATGTTTTATATAACTTGTATGATAAGATAAAATTTCAAGAGAAGTGCTCTAGAGAGTTCTAGAAAGAAAAGATTTAATAATGCTTATATTCAACTTATTATGGATATGTATGAGAAAGACCATCAGGTTTTGCTAAGAAAGTATTCAGCTCCAAGCAACTCTCCAGTTGGTATTACAACATTAGCACAAAAATACTGCAAATTCCATAAATTTTGTCCTACCTATTTAAGAAGGATTGCATAAAAGCTTGCTTCGGTGCTTCCGGTGACCTTACAAATGCAGTCCTAATGAAGTCAGGTCCTCAAAAAGGTCAAATGCCAGCCTCCATCCATAGTAGAACTTAAATTGGTGTAAACCTGAAACTTAAATCAACCTAGAGAAATAATCCAGAGTTCTACAAAACTAGTATGATTACCACCAAAATTTAAGTTCTTTTCAGTCATAGAAAGCCAACCATTCAGTCGCATTCTGGATTATAGAAAACTAATCACTGCAGTAAAAATGATGAATATGAAACTCGATAACTGGACATTCTGGATTCTTTCCTCAAGTAGAACATTTGTTGTGATGAATTAAAATAAAATAAAAACAGCAAAGGCCAAAAAATGCTTTCTGGTGATAAAATAAACCAGAATTGAAGGTTTACTTCCTACACTACCATACACGATGAAACCTTTCTTACATTCAGTTAAAAACCTCCTACAATAATCAACAAAAAAAGTGAGAGCTAGCTGATTGTTCATCAAATAGCCGAAACTCACTTCACATCAGAACACTGCAGAGCAGTTTTACAGGCCAAACCAATATAGGTATGCATATTTGTGTTTTTCTTGGATATATTATAGAATGATTCTTGAATGCAAATGAGTAATAGTTAATGCCATGAGCTTGCTATATGATAGACAAGCCAATCAATTGTTTTTTATAAACAAATATAGAGTTATTATAAATAGTAGGGAGAATAATGAAAAAATTTATATAGATAAAAAATGATGCAAGTTTTTCATAGAGAAAACGAGGGAAGATATTTTTATATGATGGCTAGATAAATAGTGTTACAATAATAAATCTTCTTTCTAAATAATCCAAAATGCCCTACCCTAAATTAAGCACTCCTTGCTCTTTCCTATGTCATCTCAATTTGATTGGTCAATGTTAAAAAAAGCTGTTTGTTTCTTCTAAAATAATGAAGTCATTAGTCATATGATGTGAAATAAAATATTTTTCAATGAATAAGAAGAGAAGGCATGTGGCATAAACATAATGACCAAACATACCAAAAAAAATTTTGTGAATGCAACTATCTAACTAAGAACAACTATACCAGAGAATTCCAACGCCTTAATTAGCCTAGATGCCAAATCATCAAGGCATCATGAAGTGACTCTTTTTAAAAAGAGTTCAAGAAAATGTAACAGAGAAAATTGAATATGCGCTTTCACATCACAATGCACAATGCACAATGCACAATGCACCAAGTAACCCATAAGACAAGCTCAAAACGGTCGTAGGCCTTTACGCTCTACGCAAGCAGGCCAATTGAACAACAAATGAAATTATGCATATAATTATCCATGGAGAATAGTGGCTTTCACCTACACATTTTGATGGATAATAATATGCATAACTTGATAGTCACGAGATTTCCCCTCATTCAATATATCAACATTCAACTTGAATGGGGTTAATTTGATGTGGGTGTTAGTTCCCCACGGGTGCAAGCCCCTGTAGTTAATTACATCTTATACTTCGAACCAAGAATACTCTCGGTTAAGGATACTATATAATTCTCTTCTTAGTTCGGTGCATAATAGGGGTTCCTAGGATCTAATAAAAAAGGAATAACCTCTTCTCTTCATATTCAATGAGAATCAAGTCTTTTAAATGTATGAAGACTAGATTAAAAATTTAAGTTTAAAAATCAAAGATTAATTTACCATCTTAGGAGAAACGACATATTCAGAATTTATCAGAAGTTAAAAGAGACATACTGAGGGTGCATAATCTAGGCTTATGCTTGCCTGGAGTGAGCTATCAGTTAATTATATAAGCACAATCAATCGTCCTATATATGCAAGATAAAGCTCTATCATAAAGAATCAAGAATTTTGGTTCAAAGATTTAAATTAGGGATACACAAAATATGCAAATAAATTTACCTAGCATGATAAGATCTTTTATTCATTTATTTGGAACATAAATACAATCTCGGGTATGCTAAAAAGTAAGGTGGCTAAGCTCCAACATGACATGCTTTGATTTCTACTCTTATGAAACATATATTTAAATATATTTGTTTATCATCTTTTAGCTCCGGATCTTCTATAAGATTCCAAAAGAGAACACCCTAAAAAGAAGAAATTATCTTTTGTAGCCCTATATGTATGTGTATAAGCAATTTTTTTCAAACCCTTTACAGCATAATGACGCTTTACAACTCAATCTATATATACAATCTAGATACTTTAAATTTACATTTGACTCTTGCACATATATTTGCATCTAGGTACATTCTAATTTGAATCTTCTTTTACAAGCATCCTAGGAACATTCTATTTTGCTCTTCTTTTTGCATTAAAGAAAATAACATAAAAAAGTGCATATGTAATGAATGTATAATATGACATCCAGAGTGTGTAAAATAAATAAACAAAGATACCGTTCAGAAAAAGATATCCGCATCACACCAAAACACACTACGGCTTAGCCTAACATTAGAGTCAGTGGCCGAAGCAAATAAATTCTAGTGTGTGAAAAATTTCATGTTCTGGATATGTTCTAATTGGTACATTGTTTAAGTTATTTAAATTTGAAGTTATTTGTTAGTTGTAGGCCAAGTGAGATGTTGGTTTGAATTTAAATTTTGATAAGAGAAAATGTTATTAATATTTTTAAAACTTATTAATGATTTATTAAGTATTCTAAGATACATGCCTTATGAATCAAATACATATATGCTCTCTAAAAGGAATCAAGCATGACATATGAAGGCTTTAAAGTATTTTTTTTATTACTGATTTGAATGACTATTTATTTAAATTGAACAGTAATCAACTTTGTTAAAAAATGGCTATGAGATTTATTTCACTTAGGTTACCAAATAATTACCTTGATTAATTATATTTGATTATCTGTTAAATACATTGAATTAATTATTTATCGAAGGACTTTAGAATCTAATGCACTTATGTCTTCAAAAATTGAGGCAAACATAGCACATGAAAACCCGATTAATGATTTAGAGGTCCTCTAATCGAATGCATGTATCCTCCAAATTCAATTAAATATAATGCATAAGAGACTTCTTGTTATTTAAAATTGTTAAGGATCTTTTAAATTCAATGCTAATGTGCTCTCAAAATGAATAAAATATAAAGCATGAACGTCCTTTAGTTATTCATATAATTTTTTAGTTAATGGATTCATAAAATTAGATCAAGTTTAAAAATTTATTATTGTTCGCTAAAAAAAATAGCACAAAGGCATGAATCTCGTTTTACAGCAGTGGGATTCCATTTTCTTTAAGTCATATTGCAATTAACCAGATTTTTTCTGAGGGTAATGACAGGGTTTAATTAGATTTGAGATCCTTACTTCCCATGAGTGCAAGCACTCATAGTTAATTACCCATCTTAACACATAAGAGAGAACTCTCGATTAAGGATGAATTTTTTTTTAGGTAGTTTAGTCTCAATTGTGAGGAAAATGGAGGTAAACGATATCAAGATTCCATGGTTCCGTCGTCCCAGGTATACCATAGTTCTAGTCTACCAACACTAACAATCATTGGCCGTAGTGTCCAGGGAATCTGATTAACAATCATGGGTTGCCTCCTCTCAGGGATCCCGAGTAGACTGAAGTGGTTAGATATGATTTTTTTTAGTTTTAATTTTGTTGGGTGTTTTGGGGTTTACATCTATTAGAATACCCATAAATTGATTTATTTTGAGATTTATGACTTCCTTTAGAAGTAACCAAGGAGTTTGGATTTGAGAGGGACTTATGGCTTCTTTAGGAAGTAGCCAAGGTATTTAGATTTAGGTTGGAACTTACGGCTTTCGTAAAAAGTAGCTCTGAAATTTAAATTTAAGTTAGGACTTATGACTTTTTAGATTTAGGTTGGGACTTACAACTTTTGTAAAAAATAGCCCATGTATTTGATTTGGAATGGGGTTTACTACTCTATTTGTGAGTTGCCCAAATATGGATCTTACAACCTAACTCTACAGCACGGTTACCCAGGGATTTTGTTTGGATTTGAGATATGTCTTATTATTTCCCTTAAGAAGTTGCTTGAAAGCGAGTCTTACAACTTAATGCTTTAGACTAAGATGCCCATAGGTTTGAATTGGATTATTTGGGATTTAGGATCATTGCTATTTATTTAGTAATTTTCCTAAAACGTAGGTCTTATGACTTCACTTAGAAGTTTCCCCGATAACAGGCCTTATAAACTAAACCTATAGACTAGGATGCCCATGAATTTATGTGTTTTTATAGAAGATCTTACAATAGAAATTCCACATGCTTTTAGCATAGGATTAGTATCATAATTACTATATTTCAAAGTATTATTTAAAGGTGAAATTCTCTCTTGAGACTTTTGCCTTGATTTTTTTAACAAGAGTTGTCTGTATAATTAGATTTGGATAGGGACTTATGACTTTCATTAGAAAGTAGCCCAGGTTAGTGTGACTTACGACCTTTACTAAAGGTAGACCGAAGGTTTTAGTTGGGTAAGTCTTATTGCTTCCTTAGGAGTTGCCTTATGATGGGTCTTACAACCTAGCCCGGTAAGCTAAGTGGTCCGAGTGATGGGTCTTACAACTAAGCCCTATAGACTAGGATGCCCAAGTGAGAGGGCTAGGGTTGTATTATCAGTTAAAAATTTTCCTCTGAGGTCGGACTTACAACTTCTATTAGAAGTGGTCAGTGTTTTAATTGGGGGTTAGGGATTACGTCAATTTTACCTAAAACTTTCTCCTAAGGTCGGGGCCGTCGGGCTTACGTCTTTCCTTTGAAAGTTGCCTGGTAATGGGTCTTACAACCAAGTTCTTATAAACAAGGCTGCCCATTGATTTGAATTTCATTGTGTTTATTGAGATAATGTTATTTATTTAAGATTTGTTACTTGGAGAGTTTGAAAGGTTTGTGAATTGGTTTGAATTTGTGATTTTGACACTTCGGAATTTTGACACTAGCGTCAATGTTTTAGTTGTTCTGTGCTCGTACTTTTTTCTACTACAGTGGTCCACTACTCTACTCATTTTCTAGCACTGTTACTTTACTAATTTTTTAGTACTTAGCTTTCCTTACTTTTCCAGTATTTTGTTTTACCTACAATAACTAGATTTATTATTTTCCAACATTGATTTAATTTATTTATGATGCACTGATTCTTGTTTACTTGTTTGCAGGTAAGTGATTCCTGCAGCTGTTCAGGGAGCTCACAGATAGTTGTAGGAGACACTGTTGAGTTGAAGCTTTGTTCAGGAACACTGGAGAGCTTATGATCATTGAATTGACGAGGAGTTGTTGAGCAATGTTTGAGAGTAGGAGAGCTGTTGTTGAGAGCATTTGATAACAATTGTATATGTTGATTAGTGAAAAACATATTTTATTACATTTTTTTTATTTTTATAATTGCTCAATTCATTAATAAATTAATTAAATCATTTAAATTTCAAAGCTTTTGAAATATTTTTTTAACTCTCAAATTTTAAATGCTCTCAAATTTTAAATTTGCTTTTTGGATTTTAAATTTGTTTCTCAGTTTTTTTTGTTTAAATTAATCAATTAATTAATTTCAATTAATTTTAATTAATTTATTTTAATCAATTAATTATTTATATTAACCAATTAATTAATTCAAATTCAAATTGATTTACTTTCCAATTATTTCAAAAAAATGAAATTTCAATAATTTTA